AGCGTCTGCAAGGCAGAGGCTACCCTCCCCCTCCCCAGCCCCATCTGCTTGGGACCCTTCAGAGAAGCAGGGACGAGGTCACTTTGACTTCAGGGGGAGAGTCAGGACCCGAGGCCAGTCGTGGGAGGGCCAGGCAAACAGAAGGCGGGAATGGTGGCGGCTTGGGGCAGAGGCACCGAGCAGGTGCAGCCGGGGCCCCGCTGGTCCTCTGGGCCCCCCGCAGGCCAGATCATCCAGACCCTGAGCGAGGAGGAGGCCGGGGAGGCGGAGGAAACCTACGCAGGTGAGTGCAACCCCGCGGCACAGCGCCCATGGTTGTCAGATGTGGCGCCGGGCTTGGTGGGGAAGGCTCAGAAATGAGGAAAATGGGCAGACGGGCTCACAAAAGTCACCACTGGGGAGGGGTGAGGAAGGAGCTTGTCTCCCAGGCATTAGCTTCGGGGCTCTGGTTGGGGCCCCCCCATCCCCCAAGTCACTCACCGCCCCTCACCCCGCTGAGCTCCAGCCGTTCATTGGCCCGGACGGTTCCTAGACCTCTTTGCAGGAGGGACCCCGGCCTCTTCTCACGTGGGGGCACACAGGGGCTCCCAGCGCCTCCATCCTGCCCGGGTCACCATCCTGTGTCCCCCACCCATCCGTGGAGATACCCCTCCCTCCCGCCCTCCCCTCTCCCAAGCACCGCATCCCTGCCTGGCGGGGCTCCCGGTTGCCGGCTGAGTCCCTGTAGTCAGAGGACGTGGCTCACAGCTGTTCTCTGGGGAGAGCAGGGGAGAGCAGGGCAGAGCCGGGGGCAGGGAAAGTGGGCAGGACCTCCGGGGCTGGTCCCGGGCTGAATGGGGAGCCTCAGACGTGTCTCCTGGAGCCCGGCAGGTGTGGTCCTGCTTGTGACCGGGGTGTGTGCACCCCCAGGAGGAGCTCTTGCTTACACTCTACAAGCTGTCCTGCCCCTTGCTGCACAGCACCGCCCCCCTGCCCACGAGCCCCCGTCCCCCAGGCCCAGGCCCTCCTGCCCAGTACCACTGTGTCTGCGTTGCAGCCCTGAAGCACATGCAGGAAGACCCCGACCCCGCGGTCAGCTGCCTGGCCGCGCAGACCTCCTACGTCCTGGAAGCCAAGGAGAAGATGAAGATCACCGGCCCCCAGCTCCTGCTTCTGCTGCAGGAGGCCGAGAAAGGCCCGTTTCTGAGCCTGCGTCCAGGGCAGACAAGACGGCGGCAGCGGTGACTGTGGCTGGGCTTCTGAGCTCTAGACGTGTGGGTGCGTCCCTGCAAAGCCTCTGTGATAAAGGGAGAGGGACCACTGCTGACCTAGTGTCTAGGATTCCGGGCTCTCCCTGCCATGGCCGGGGCTCAATCCCTAGTTGGGGAACTGAGATCCCATAAGCCGTGCAGCACGGTCAAAAAAAAAATTCTTTTAATTAGAAATAAAATAAAATAAAAGGAAAAAGAGGGAACGTCGGAGCAGGAGGTGTTTCCTCATCTTTCCCCTGGAGCCCATTCCCGCCCAGGGTAGAGCTGCCTTCTCTGCAGCGAACCTCCGGGTCCAGGCCCCTCCCAGCCCCGCCCTCACTCAGCCAGGGCCCTGAGGCCAGAGTGCGGGGCCTGGGAACCTCAGCTTGAACTGCGAACTGGGAGGAAAGCGGTGCTGGGATACGGGGGCTGTGGGCAGGGTTCCTGGCCGTAGGCAGTGCACTCTGGCTGGTTTAAGCCGCTTATTAAAGGGCATCAGTCAGCTCCCGGGGGATCAGCGTTTGGATACTGCGCTCCAGGCACCAGGCGGCTCCGCGGAGCACCACTGTGGCGGTCCCGTGGCTCAGCACACCCCGGCCCAGGTGACAGCGCTCAGGCCTGGGCATGGAAAACTTGGCCGCGGTCCCTCCTGCCACGCCGATGGGTCAGCAGGGTGAGCACCTACCATCTCCCACTGCCCCTGCTGGAACCGGCCCTGCCGGCGGCCGTCCCACCGTCCCGGGGCGGCTCTCCGTCCACGCAGGGCCACTGGCTGTTCCCATCGCCACCATCCTGCCCCCGCTTGGAGCCAGGGTGTCACCTGTTACCCCCGACCTCAGTCAGCCGGGCCCTGGGCAGAGCTCTGGGTACAGGGACGGTGACCCCATGTCCTACAGAGCAGGGGCCCCACGGCCCAAACTCTGGCCACAGCGAGGCGGACGCCCGGCCTGGCTCTGCCTCTGGCCCTGCAGCGTCTGGCCTCTGTCACCCGCACCCCAGACCCTGGGGATGTGTGGAGCTCCCGCTCAGTGGCCGCGTCTCCACCTTCCACGCCTCCCTCTCAGCAGTGGCCACGCTCTCCGGGTTATCTGGACCCAGGGAGCGGCGGGAGTCACTGCCACGGTTGCAAACAGACCTCAGAGGCAGCGTTGGAGCTCGCGCTAACCCAGCACTGGCCAGAAGCCTCTTCCACCCACCGCCTTTGTCACCAGCTGGCACTAGGGGCCATTCCGGCCGCACCTGTTACAGGTGGCGGTGCTCGGGGAAAGTCACAAGACTCAGTATACACTCACGGTCCCTGCCTCGCCCTCCAAAGCGCGATCCTGCTTTGCTACAAGCAATGACAAAGGATGGATTGTATTATAACCTATCAGCAGGTCAAGTGCATTGGTATAGGACCCGCTTCAGAGACAATCACGCTCCTTGCCTTGGTCAAGCCAAATTAAGGGACTCAATGGGCAGAGACAAGCCCAGGAAATGGATTCTAGGGCCCTCTTGTCCTCGGATGATCTTGGCCACATCTGTCGCCTTCTGGGCCTCAGTTCCTTTCATCTGTAAACTGAGAGGTTTGGAAAAAACTATCTTTTAAGATGCCACCCAGCCCTGGCAATGAATGGCTCGTGTCAGATTCCGAGAAGTGCAAATTTCTTGCCTGGGAAAGCCGCCTGGGAACTTATATCCTAAACAGAATTTCTCTTCTTCATCCTCGTTTGTTTTCCAAGTTTTCTATATTAAACAGTTATTGGACTTCCGCGGCGGTCCGGCGGTTAAGACTCTGCCTTCCAGGGCAGGGGGCATGGGTTCGATCCCTGGTCGGGGAACTAAGGTCCCACATGCCGTGGGGTGTGGCCAAAAATTTTTTAAAAAGAGGCCATAACAAGCAGTTATTACTCTTATAATCTGGAGAGAAAAATCCCACATTAAAAGAATAAAAAGCAATGTCCCTTAACTCACTATTCCTGCTTCCCCACCCCAAGTGCCTTGGCTTCTTCAAGACTTGAATTTGGAAAAACCACCTTTTGTGGCCAAAGTCTGGGGGCCGAGGGGGAGTCCGCTGGATGCAGTCAGCTCCGGGTCCTCCGTCCTCTGGTTTCATCCACACCCCTCCCCGCTGGTATGCAGCTGGCGATGCCCCGTTGTCACTTCCCGCAGTCGACAGTAGGCTCTGTCCCGAAGGGCAGAATCCTATGTGAAAGATGGCCTGTGGGGAGCAAGGGTGGGGTGAGACCGGGTGGGAGGTGGCGTGGGTGGAGCTCGGTCAACCAGCCAAAAACAACCGGACTCAGGAGCCACCGCTGCTCCCCAGGGCTGGGAGGCTCCCATGCCCGCCGCGGGGCTGGGGGGATGCATCTCCGTCACTGGCTCAGGGTCCCCCAACTTGCCAAGCCCCTTCCTTGTGAGGACCAGGACCCTCTGGGGAGGAACCTTCCTCCGCCCACGGCGACCCCATCGGCGCCATCACCTGTCACCAGCCGTGGGTCCGGATCAGCAGCAGGGCCTGTGCAGGCTGAGGAAGCAGCTTGCTTTGGTATTTGGAAAACAAAGCAATGAGAGACCCAATTGTCTTCTTAATACAGACATCAGAAAGGAAAGCTTCAGAGTGGTCGGGGGAGGGAAGAAGGTGCAGACTGGCCCCCGAGGTGGTGGTGCAGGGGCGGGGTGGGGGGGATGGATGTGTGGTTTTCAAAAGGAAAAGGTAGGTTTAGATAGTTGCTGACAGCTCATCACTCGACCCGCCAGGATTGCTGTTCTTTCTTCATTCACCCCCACTCTCCCTCTTTAAATGTTTGCTCAGCATCTGTGGCCACAAGGCACTGAGGGAATACAGAAAGAAGCAAAATGAAGTCAGTACTGACCCTCCCCCAAAAGAGGGTACATTTTATGGTATGGGAATTACATCTCAATAAAACTGTTATGAAAATGTTTTGATAGAGCTAAACCTGACAAAGTAGAGATTTGCACACACAGCTGGTGCAGAGCATCGGGACACTATGGACCCTGAAGTGCATACAGTCCTAAGTTATATGAGCATCACTGATGCCTGGAAAACCGTAGTAACGAACAGGATCTAGTGAGTTACAGGCATGAGAGCAGCTCCGTTTTACAGTGACAACTCTGTGTCTTCCGGGGTGAAGAGCACATTACAGGGTTGCTCGGCATCTCATAGACGTTATGTTAAAAATGGGGCTTTTATGTTCAAAATAATGGGACGTATAGGCAGAGCACAGAGGATTTTTAAGGCAGTGGGAAAAAGAAAAGGGAATACGAGTTTTTAAGACTGAGAAGCCGTGATCTGGAAGCAAACGTCACGCCTTCGGTGGAGCCGTTGGCACGTGTGACCGTTTGTGTTTCTGTCCCCTCCTCCTAAGCCACGAGGAACAGAACCGCATCTGGGGGGCAACCCGCACGGCGCCTCCCACCCGATGGAGCGACAGGAACGGGTGTCAACCATGACTCTGCCCTTAGCAGCTGGGATGCCCGGCAAGCCGCTTCCTCTGAGATGTTTCTCATTTCAGAAAATGCAAACACCGCCTGTCACACAGGTAGTGAAAACCCGATGGACAACGCCTGGAACAGTGTCTGGAATGGAGCAGGCACTCAGGAAACACCGGTGCCCTTGCCTCCAGCTGTGCACCTGTCCCAGGAGGGGACACAGGGCCTGGCCCAGATGCCTGGCCCCGCCTGCCACCAGCCCCTTCCCCCAACCCCTGCCCCAGGGAGGACCACCAGCCCAACATCCGTAGCCCTCAGGGTCACACCACACACCACAGACAAGGGTCATTCGCGTTTTATTTATGACAGCTTCTTGGAACACTCACATCCGGTCCGGGAACAGAAATGTACAGCATGAGGTTTAAATAACTTTCATACACTATGTACAGTCACCGGCAGACGTACAAAACATATATACACCTGTGCTACCACCCAGCGGAGGAGCTGAACCAAATGCAACCCTGCGCCCGGGCAGGGGATAGCTAGAAAAGAGCTGGTGGGCAGGGCAGGGCTTCACGGCAGGGGTCTTCTCTGACCCTCGGCTCTTCCCGGAACTGCCCCTGCTTCCCTGCAAGGCCCTCGGGACAGGAGTTCAAAGGGCTGAACTGGGGTGTGGTGCAGCTGGGAGCTCCTCTGAGCACTGGGGGAGGGGGAGTAGAACAAAGATGCCTTAGAAGAATCAGAACTTTCCCTGTCAACTCTATTTTGCACATCAGAGGGTTGGGAAGGGTTTGGGAGCCAAAAGAGGAGGGATTGTGGGGGGTGGCAGCCAAGCCCTGGCTGCTTGGGGTGCAAAGGGACAGATGCGCCGGGTTTGGGCCACTTGGTGGGAAGGAGCTCAGCGCTCTGGCAGGCCAGGCCCTGGCCACACAACACGGTGGTGAGCACACCGGGCGACGTGGGGATGAACGACCAGGGGGTGTGCCCGCACCCAGCCCAGACCGCTTCAGAGGATGCCCGGGAGCCAGGCCCCGCAACGGTGGGAGAGGCCAGGACTCCCCGACCGTACAGCAGCCCTGCCCGCGTCTCCGCCACCCCGGGTGGCGTGAGCAGGTCCTGGTGACAGTCCTCCCTCCGGTGGTTTGTGCTTTAAACTTCCTCTGCCCGAGCCACCCGGCCCCTGGCGGGCAGCAGGACCGGACCATGCCTGGACCCACAGGTGGCCTCCCAAGGGGTGGAAGGCGGCACCCGGACCGCCTCAAAGGCTCGGGCGTGCTGGCCTCTCTCAGCCTTCCTCTCTCCTTGGCAAGCTCCAGAGTCAACTCCAGGTGCCTCGGAGGAGCCAGCCCTGCAGATGGAAGCAAACGCTGGCCTGGCTAATGCTGAGCAGAGGCCTGGCCCAGGACCGCGCTGAGAAGGCTGTGGGCAGTGGCCAGAAGATGGTCCCGTCAGGGGAGCTTGCCAGCCAGCTTTGAGAGCTTTCCCGGGGCTCAGCCCCGGAACAGGATACGGGTCAGTGGGGCTGGGATGGACCTGGGATCGAGCATTCAACAATTCGGGATGTCGGGGAAAAAGGGTGCCACTCCGGGGCCCCCAGCCCTCCAAGCCTTTGGGTGGGCACAGCAGGGCAGAAGTAGCAGGATGAGTCCCGGAATTAGGAAAGGCTGCGGGCCGAGCCCTGTCGGAGCGAGGGCAGCCCCTGAAGTGGGCGTCCTCGGTCTCCCGCTGGGCAGAGCCTCCTGGGAGGAGCCTCCTGGCCGGGTTTGCCCAGGCCGCCTGCCACCAGCCCTGCCTTGTGCTCAAATCACAACCATTTTGTGCTTCCACATTGAGGATGCTTGTGCATCGAGGGGCGCTGGGGGCCCCCCAACCACGTACCCAACCCATCCCCGAAGGAGCGGGCAGACTTCAGTGCTCTGGAGCACAGCTGGGAAAGGCTCCCGAGACCTCAAGTTCAGAGTCAGTGCTTCCCGCCAGGACAGCAGAGCCAGCCTGCCATGAGGTATCTGACCCACGAGAAGCAGCAGGAAACGGGCAGGGCCTCTGGGCGCCTCTCGCGGGCCCAAGGGCCTGTCTGTGCAAGGACAGGCCTGCAGCCGCTGCCCACTGGCCCCAGGCTGAGGCCTCCAGTCTTGTGTTTCTACAGTTTGTAAACGGTCATGCAGATTCTTTCTTACAGGAGGCAAGGTTGAAGCTTTCTGTTGAGGTGGGGGAAGGGCCGGGGCCCGAGAAGAGAATTGTACCCACTTCTGAGCGGCTGAGGGGGCTCCCAGCACCCCTGGGATGGCCCAGCAGGAGGGATTTCCAGTCCTGAAGACACTGTCCTGGCTCTGGGCGTGTCCCTGCTGCACGTCTGCTCCCCCATTGTCGACCCCAAGTCCAGCAGGGGGCCCTCACAGCAGGACGGCTTTCTGAGCTGGGGGGCAGCTCGGAGCAGTGGGGACAGGGCGAGTTCTGCCCTGGCCACGTGGGGAGGGGCACCGAGGGGAGAGCACAGGGCCACCTCCGGAAGATCCAAAAGTCACTGCGTCCTCTGAACAGAGCTGGGGCTCCCGGCCTCAGACTGAGTGAGGCCAGGAAGCGCAAGACCAGTTAAGCGTCAGAGAAAGTGTGTGAAAAGAAAAAGAATGCGGATTGAACAACATCCCGGGAGCGGGGAGTCCACGGCCCCCGGGAAAGGAGAAACTCAGTGGAGTCCATCCTCACCGCTGGCCCTACAGGGAGAGACCCTGGCCCGTGCCAGTTAAGGCTTGAACGCAAGTCTCCTGAATAACCGGGGAAAGACGCCAGGGGCTCTGCCTGGCCGGGGTGAGATGCAGGGGGGCTGGGGAGGGGCCAGGCCGGGCGTGCCGTCCAAGCCCCTTCATGGTGGACAGTCTTCCGAGCTGCTTCCTACGTGGCCCACCCGGGGTTCTGGGAGTGGGGACAGCGGGCAGGAGACCCCGCGGGTGAGAAGACACATGTGGCTCTGCGGGCATGGCTGGTGTAAGGCTGCCCGGGGCGGGTGCCAGGCCCCGGCGTAGGAAGGCACTGGCGCGCCAAGCGGCCGGAGGCGGGGGCACTAGAGCGGCCCCCAGGTGAGGTCGGGGACGGGCCCAGGCTGCAGAGTCAAAGGGGAGCCGCCCTCCTCTGCAAAGCAAATGGGGGGGGGCGGCCCTGGAGGGCGGGGGGCGGATCCCCTCCGGGACTGCTGGCCCCTAAGACCTGAAGGAACAAGCTTGTGGGAAGAAACTTCAAGTCAGTTTCCAGGAGGCAACAGCAAAAATAAAAATAAAAAATAAATTAAATAACTGAAGGACGCTGACCATCTCCCCAAAGGAATCTTTCTGGCAGCTCCACCATGGCCCCAGCAGAAAGGGACCCAAGGAATTGCTGGGGTCCACGGGGAGTGGCCACTGGTGGCCGAGGGGCTAAGGTCAGCTGCAGGGCCAGCTGCCTGCACCTGGTTTCCATGGTTACCTGAGGGCTATCTTTCTGGGCTCAGAGGCAGGTGCAGTGGCTGGGCCAGAGGATGTAGGGGAGGCCTGCTGGCCGGAGGGGCACGGAGATGGCTGCCCCACCTCCCGGACAGGCCCCCCGGGGCCAAGGCTGGAGGAAGGGCGTGGCCAGCTCGGCAAGAGAACACGGGACAGGTTGGGGGGTGGGGGCAGGCTGCAGGGAGAGAAATGAGGGGAATTTGGCTTCACAGCTTAATTAACTCCCCGACCTCCCTGTCCCCAAGAGGCGGGGCAGGGAGGGGGCAGTGTCCCGTGGGAAGGTCGGGGAGAGGAAGGCGGGCAGGAGGGCCACAGCCTCTGTCCCCCGGGTGCTGCCCCGCTGGGCCGAGGGTCAGGTTGTCCTCTGAGCTCACTCCTAGTGGGGGCCGCTGGGTACCAGGCGCCGGGCACTCCAGAACTTCACTGTCAGGTCACTGGGCGGAGCAAGAGAGGGCTGGTCAATTCCTGAAGAGGCCACGGCGGGCCATCCCCGAATGAAGCACGGGCCACATCCCCCAGCTTGCCAGGCGGGGCTGGGACCCAGGGGCAAGCATTGCTTAGGCCGAGGGCGGCTGCAGGGGTGGAGGGGAGCTGGGCAGAGGGAGGGGCCTGTGGTCACCAAGGCCCCACAGGATTCTGAGCACGGCTTCTCTCCGTTGTTGCTATTTTGTTTCCTTGTCCAGGCCTGAATGCTCCCCCTCTGCTCTCTGCCCCCTGGCACCCCTCTCCTGGGGGTCTGCCCCCCGTCCATGCTCAGAAAGAAGAGGGGCAGGCGGGGCAATCTCGGGGCAGGCAGGATACGGGGGGAGAGAAGGGAGAGGAGTAAAATAATCTCGTACCGTTAAGAAGCAGCTCAGATCGAAGTGGAGAAAGAGGGGAAAGGAAAGAGGGGGAGGATTGGGGTGGAGAGAGGAGAGCGGAGGGGCGCGGAGGTCAGGGCAGGGTGGTGGCTCGGCCCTTTATGGCCAGGACTCGGCGCGGAAGGCAGGGGGTGAGTCCAGGGACGTAATTCCACAACTTTACCCGGCAGTCACTGTTGGGGGAGAGGCAGGGGGAGGCGGGAAGGGGGAGGCGGAGACAGGGAACGTGGTCGGAACAAGAAGGAAAAAGAAGAGGCCGTCTGAGCACCTGCCCCTGGGACAGAGGGCCTGGGCGTCCCTGGATGGGACCAGAGCTGGGGCTGAGGGAGACGGGCTGCTCTGTGGTCTGAGATACCTGCACAGGGGTCCAGGCTGCTGTGTCAGGGGCAGGAAGGGCTGGGACACGGGGGGTGGTCCCAGCCTGGGGCCCAGCATCCCCCGTGGGCGCTCCGTGAAGGCGGGCTCAGGCCAGGGGCGCCGCGGGGTCTGCTCCATGCCCTGGCCGCGGGGACAGCGCCCGGGACAGGGTGGAGAACAGGAGCAGAGCTCTCTGCCCGGCACCCACCTGGAGGCGCTGAAGATGTGCCTGGCGTTGGTGCACATGGCATTGATGGGGCTGTCGTGGCCCTTGATCTCGCCAATGGGCGTGAAGTTGTCGACGTTCCAGACCTTGATGACGCCTGCGCGGCAGGCGCTCAGCAGCATGGGGCGGCCCGGGACGAAGGCCAGGGCACACACCCAGTCCTTGTGTGCCGTGGGGATTTGCTGCGGAAGAAGCGAGCCGTGAGGGCGAGAAGCGGGGGGCCCTGCCCCAGGCTCTAGAGGTGAGTCCCTCATTCCTGCTCCCATGCTCCACCCTGAGACCCTGCACTGGTACAGAGACCTTTAGCCCTCAGAGGGGTCGGAAGAGAAGGAAGGGGTTGACTAGTCAGACCAGGGGCTGAGAGCAGACCCTTCCTGAGAGCTGCTGCCTGAAGGCAGATGGTGGAGGCCGGAGAGGGTGCCGGCCGGCGGAGGCACTGGGGGGAGAGGGTGCCGGCCGAGGCGGGGGTGGGCACGGGGGGAAGAGGGTGCCGGCCGGCGGGGGGGGCACAGGGGGGAAGAGTTTGCTGACCGGGGCGGGGGGGGCACGGGGGGGGGAGGGGGCCAGGCAGGGGGGGAAACACAGGTGGGGAAGAGGCTGCAGAAGTGGCAGGCTTGGGGGGCTCTGGGCCAGGACACAGGGCCCCCAAGCCCTGCCCGGGGACCGCCTCTCCGCAGCCCACCACTCCCGCCCCCACTGCACCTGCATGAGCTCCTGCTGCGCCAGGTCCCACTTCTTGATGCCATTATCCCGGGAGCCGCTGAACAGGACGTCCCCCTGGATGGCCAGACACTCGATGCCATCGTAGTGCGGGGGCTCGAAGTTGTGGGTGGGGCCGACGGTGCCCGTCACACACTCACCCAGCTGAAACATCTACGGAGGAGGGGTGGGAGGGAGGCTGGGCGCCTCACCAGGCTGTGGGGGGGGGCTTCCCGGGGGACAGGAACTGGGGGCAGGGAAGCTGACTCAAGGTGGGTTTGGGGTGTGAGCCTCCTACTAAATTTCTTTTTTTTTCCTACAAAGTTTATAAATAAATAAATATAACACTACTTGTACTTTAAATAAAACCATTCATCATAACCACACCACCCTCTTTCCCTTTTTATCCACTGCTTCCCAGCCTCCGGCCCTGTACCTACGCTTGCAATGACACAACCAGGGAGCAAACAGCACCAGCGCTGACTTGTGCTCTTTGTGGGTTGTTTTCATATTTATCATGTAGTCAGTTGTGCTGCATCCCGTCCTGTGGGTTTTCCCTAATTTTCTTGCCTGTTGTTCTACCCGTAGACACTTAGGTTCTTTCTGACTTTTCAGCACGTGTACAAGATCACGCGGCAATCTTGGCCTTCTGCACAGACCTTGCTCCTTGGGGGTGATTTTTCAGCATTAAATCCCCAGGGGTCTCATTATTTCCCATGAGTCCCAAGGCAGTGGAGGGAGAGGGCCAAGGTAAGGAGAGCAGGAGGAGAACAGAGCCGCCACCGAGCCCGGCCTCAAGGTCAAGGTCAAGGACTTCTCCGTACCTTAACGTAGTGGTCCTTGGAGCCGGTCACCACCAGGTCGTGCTGGCTGGCGGTCTGGGCGACCGTCAGGCACATCACAGGGCCGATGTGGCCAGTCAGCTTGCCGACAGGCTGGAACCTGTAGGGGAGGAGAGGACCAGCTGGGGGAGGGTGGGGGTTGGATCGGGGGGACCCTGGGGTGGGGTTGGGGGTCTACCCTGGGGTGATACGCTGGCCAGGGGACTATCCGCCCTCAGAGCAAGATGGAGACCCAGGCACGAGCCGCCTGCAGCCCGGGGCCGCCCCGGGGGTCCCCCGCCCCTGCCCGGGCCCCTCCCCGACCTGTTGAGCTCCCAGATGCGGACGGCGTTGCCCGAAGCGGCATACAGCATGCTGCCCGAGGGGCTGAGGGCAATCTGGTTGATCTGGTGCTCTCCCTGAGCGCTGGTGATGGTGCGGGTGGACGCAGCCGCACAAGCGTCCCCTGAGACCACCTGGCCTGAGGACCTGCCCGTGAGGGAGAGAGGCAGGGTCAGAGGTAAGGGCTGGGGTGTCCCTCGCGGGTCTCCTGGGCTGGGTCCTGGCTCCTGCCCCGCCACCAGTGCGAGCCGGGCGGGACGACTTACGTGAGGGTCCGGACGCACTTGGCCGAGTCTCGGATGTCCCACACCTTGATGTAGGAGGTGGACACGGAGAACACGAGCCCAGAGAGGCTGCAGTACTTGATGGAGACCACGTTGCTGGGGTGACCCTTCAGAGCTGCGATCTCCTGCCCCGTCACCAAGTTCCACATCTTACAGCTGCGGTCTGCAAGAAAGCGGGCGTGAGCGGGGGACAGCCGTCACGGCCGGGGCCCGGGGAACTCACGTCCCCACAGCCACCGGGGCCGTCAAGGCCAGGGGAGGTGGTCCAGGGTTGCCCAGGGGACGGGCTCCGGGTCCGGGGGAGAAAACGTGCTCCCGCCTGCTCCCGTGGTGCACGGACGAGCCCGGCACTTCCCACTAGGGCTTCTCGGGCAAACGCCCACCAATGCCAGGTTCACGGAGCATCGCCGGGGCGCCGGGGCTGGAGTAAAGCTCCCGTGCCGGCCAATCGCTGACCAAATTAACGAACGATGCCAAGCAAGTCTCAGGGGGAAGACTTGGAACCAATGAACCTCACCTCGATTCACAACCCTCTCCCTCCTGCCACGCAGGTGGGTGTATACACATTTCCCACTGTTCTATTAGCTACCTCCTGCACAGCTGCTCTTCCTGCCGGAAGGTAACGTTTTCTGACTGTCGCTGGGATTAAGAAATCGTAGGAAGTGCGCAGCCCTAAGCGCTGGGGTCGGGGAGGGGCTGAGATGAGCAAAGGCGGGGCACCTGACACGCTTCCTGGAGTTCCGGAGGCAGGTCTGGAAGGAGGTACTGGATGGAGACCCCAGAGCCAGCTAGGAGGGGAGGCCCGGGGTGGGGAGCCCTGAGCCCCGGCAAGAGACCCCACCTCCTCAACCTGGCGGCTGTGATCCCGTCTCCTGGGCAGCCCGCTCTGGCAAAGGGAGCGGGAGGGCGGGAGGCCCTGACCCCACCTGGCCGGTCCGGGTTCCGCCCACCTTTGGACCCTGTGAAGAGCAGCTCATCCGTGGCGTCCAGGCAGAGGATGGGCTTGGTGTGGCCCTCGGCCATGGAGACGCACTGCAGCGGGGCCGTCCGCGCGCCCCTGGCTCCTCCGACCGGGGTGATGATGCCCCTTCCCGGGAGAGAGGGAGAGAGGCGCCCGTCAGCCCGGGACTGCGGCCAGGCTGAGCGAGGCTCCCGGGTGAGGGACAGGCGCAGGGGCACTCGGGCTGTGGCAGGGGCTCCAGCCACAGCCCCCCAGGTCCGAGAGCCGCGCAGACAGGGGCCTGTGGTGCAGCCTCTCAGTTGCCATCCTGAGCACTCCTGGGGAGCAAGCCCGGCCGGGCACGGCCAGGGGCCAGGACACGCGGGAGTCTCCTCCATCGCCTGCCTGACCCAGAACCCAAGACACACACGCCCCCAGGCCTCAGCCGGGCGGGGCAGAGGCCCCAGAGCTGGATGGGCTCCTCCGGCACCTCGGCGTCCACAGGGAGGGTGGAGGAGTGCGGAGAGGGAGGGCGCCCAGGCCACCAGGCCGGGGCAGAGACGCGCGCATGCAGGCGTGCACGTCACCTCCACCTGGGCCCCTTTGGACCAGTGTGGTCAGATCCGTGACTGCCATCTGCAAAGGGCTAAGTCCCTCTGGGGAGCCCTGCTCAGCTCTGTGGGAAGAAAGTGCAGGCCCCTGTGGGGAGCGGAGCTGGCATGGCCCCATCCTCCCCACAAACACTCAGAGACGAAGGACGCCCGTCCTGAGCGGACCTGAGGACTTCGCTACACACCAGCCTCCTGGAGGGCCTGATGGTGAGGATTTATTTCCAACTGAGGGTCTTTGGGAACGAGCCCCTGGCCAAGCCACATGCACGTCTGAAACATGGCCTATTCTTTCCAAAGACAGCGCTGCCCCTGTGGCCGAGAGCGTCGGATGTGACCAATGTCCTGCCCTGCCCACAGCTGCTCGAGAGCCCCCGAACTCCACTGGCACCCCCACGGACGGCGGTCGGACAGGCCCAGCTGTCCCCGGTGTCGCAGGCACACGAACAGCCCCGCCCCCCAGCTCCCCGCTTCTGACGCTGGCTTGGGCCCAGGGGAAGTAGCCCAAGACAGCAGTGGGAAGACCCCAAGTTACAAGGATAACCCTCCGCCCATGGGAGGGGCCAGGGGGTGAGGGGGTGGCTGGCAGCCTTGCAGCCAGGGGCATCACCCCCGGGGGTAGGAACAGTGAGTGGCGGTTGCCCCGGAAGAGCAGAGGGAGCCCTCAGCTCAGGGTGGCCCTTTCCCAGCAGGGGCTCAGGCCCACCAGGTCCTGGGACTTGCCCCTTGTTATGGGCAGCGGGAGGAGTGCGCGCGCTTGTGCGTGTGCGCGCGCGTGTGCGTGTGCGCGGGGCTGGCTGAGGGGAGAGAGGTCTCCTGGTACTCCTGGCCTTCGGGCCAGGAGACGTGGGCAGGGCCACTTCTCTTTCAGAGCCAAGGTCGGTGAGGGAGCCCCTGACACAGCTGAGTAAAAGCCGGGATGCTGAGCCCGCGCGACCCTCCAGCAGCCTTCCTCCAGGGCTCCGGCCCCCCAGGCTCCCGTGCCCGCCCCTCCCACCCGGTGACAAGCCACCAGAAGCCATGCCCTCCAGAGCCCCCAGCTCCAGCCTGGCGCAGTCAGAGGCCACGAAGCACCCACGAGAGAGGAACCAGGGGTGAGAAGGGCAGGAGGGGGTCTGGGGGAGCCACGGAGAGGAGGGGCCGCATGCTGAGGCCAGGGTGTGGGGAAGGGGGACAGAAAGGGAGCAGCGAGCCATTCTGTGTACCTCAGGACCTCCGACAAAGAGGAGTCGCTGTCATCAGACCTGGGGGCAGAAAATTAGCTGGATTAGGGGGAGAGAGGGACACACACGAGGGAGCAGAGGTGGCAGCAGCGTGGGGAGGTCAGAGAGGGTGGTTATTCTCTGCAGGGGGAGCGGAGAGAGGAGAGGAAGGAGGGCCTGAGGGCAGCGGAGAGGAGGTGGGGCAGGCCGGGGAGCTTGGGGCGGGGATGGGGGTGCAGAGGGGCAGAGGGGACATGGGCCTTGCTGGTCCCAGGATCTCGGCTGCCTCACTGCACAAGCTGGGGGCCCCCTGCCCCCTGAGCGACGCTGCGCCTCCTCCCACCCCTCCCAGGAGCAGGCCTCTCCCAGCAGAGCTTCAGAGACCTGCTGATCCCCGAGCACTGGCCCCACGGGCCACTGGACGGTGCCCAGCAGCTGCCTCTGCACACGCGGGCCCGACGCCCGGGCCACCGGGACCAGGGTCTGGAAGCCCCCGGCGCTGGGATGCCAGGGTCCCACCCAGAGCTGCTGAGAGGGGCCTGTCAAGGTGTGAGGGGCCCCTGGCCGGCATGGGGGTCCCCTGGCTGGCGTGGGGGTCCCCTGGCTGGCATGGGGGTCCCCTGGCTGGCGTGGGGGTCCCCTGGCTGGCGTGGGCCGGGCTCGGTGCTGTCTTCCCGCAAAGGGGGCCACGGCAGGTTTGGGGCAGGAGCGATGTTTTGCCTCTGTGAGGAGAGGTGATGTAGGCAAAGGAGTAGCACTTTGTAGCCTGGGCTCCGCCAAAGGACAGAGGAGCTGTTAGAGCCGAGAGGAGCCCTCTGGGGGCTGCAGAAGGTTGGGAGTCGGGGGTGCCCAGCAGTGTGGGGGGCCTGGAGGGGAGCACAGGAGGGCCGGGCCTCTCCCTTCGCCACCGCGGAGGCCCACAAGTCAGAGATCCCAGGTTTGGGCCCAACTCGGCTGCTTTCTAGGTGTCCCGCGGCCTCTGAGCCTCATCTCCTCTTTGTAAAGTAGGGAAGGCAGTCCTCGCGGCTGGTTTATATACTTCGGGTGGAATCACGTGTGTGCAAGCCTGGGGCGGCGCCGGGGGGCGGTGCCCACCGCACTGGGAGGTGAGTGTCCAGCGAGAGCGCTCAGTAGGGGTGCGCTGACCCTACCATGTGACAGAAACGGGGTCTCCTTCTGCAGGGACCCTTCACAAGGGTGCTGGGGCGTGGCCTGAGCATTAGCGGGGGCGGGGGTGTGCGTGACTGAAGCGAAGGGAGGGGCTTCAGAGAAGAATGAGAATCACCAGAGGCAGCAGGGGCAGCTCTGGGTAGGCCCTCGGGGTGCCCGACTGCCCGGGCCTGGCCCCGTGGCTTCCTTCGTGCCCTCTCCTGCAGTCCCCACACGCTCAGGGGACTGGAGGGGTCCACGGGCAGCACAGAAAGGGCAGAGGTGCCAGGAGAGGGGCCAGCGCAGCACGCCTAGCGTCTTCCCGCTGCCCGCCCGCCTGCGGCCAGGGGCCGCCCGCAGCCTCCCTGTCCCCTCTGCGCCCCCCGCCCCCCGGCGCCCGGCTCTTACTTGTCCAGCGCCGACCCCTGGCTCTGGTTACTGGTGAGACGAGAGAAGACGTTTCGGTCGTTCCGGGGCCGGGTGGGAGGGGACGAGGGGGGCGTGAACCCCACGTCTGTGGACCTGGCAGGTGAGCAGGACAGAGCGGCAGCCGTCAGTCACCGCGCCTCTGCCCACGGGCATGCGCACACGGCATCGCCTGCACCACCTTCCGTCTGGTTGTGCGGCCGGCAGGGCGGGGGGTCCTACGGCCCAGCTCCTGCTCGGCCCCCAGGGGTTGGTCCTCGTGATCCGTGGGTTCCGCATTTGGGAATTAATTCACCTGCTCGCCAAAGCCTATCTGTCAGCCCCAAACAACACCCGCAGGGTTCCTGGTCATCTGCAGGCATGAGGACCCAAGCACACATCTTCCCAGCTGAGGTCGAAAGAGGTGGCCCTACCTCCCTCACAGTGCACACAGCGCCCTTTCCAGTCTATTTAGTGTCATGCTTTTCAAATTTTTGTGCTTTTGGTTGGTGATTTCAGTGTTTAAAATGGCCCCGAAGATGCTGCTGCAGGGCCACCTGGTGTCCTGAGCTCAAGGAAGCTGGGACGTGATTTACAGAGAAGATACGTGTTAGATGAGCTTCGTTCAGGCATGAGTTCTAGGGCTGTTGGCCCTGAGTTCAATGTTAATGAGTCAACGGTACATATTGGATTAGGTGTCTTTAAACAGAAACTCACATGACGGGTTGATGAAAACGCTGGGACCAGAGGCTCCCAGGAGCCCAGCCCTGTATTTCCCGGGAACAACGGCTCAGGATTCGCTAAGTCGTGTTCACGGTGACTTGACAACACAACTGCCACAAACAGCTCGACCTGATCTCCAGGGAAGAGTCCAAGGCCTCATGGCGCCACCCCTTCCAGCACCCACGACCCTGCTCTTTGGAGGGTGGTCCTCAGGCTCAGCCCATCCTCCCTCCCTTTGGAGGGTCATCACGAGACCAGCCTACATTCCCCCCAATTGCAACTCAGTGTGTTCTCTCTGTCACGGGGGGCGGGACGGTCTGTGGGGCCCCAGGTGCACAGATGCTTTTGCAACTCCTCCCACCAAAGCCCCATCTGCAGCCACGGGCATGGGCGGCTGGACCGGAAGGAGGGACAGGTGCATGTCCCCCTCCCAACAAGGCAGGTGCATGAGGTCATCCTGAGCCCCTGCCCTTCTACTACTTCGCTGTGTGACCTGGGGAGGCCACCAAACATCTCTGAAAATTAAGGTGACCCTGAGAGGCATCGGGATACCCGAAGAAGCCCGTGGGGCCCCATGAGTGAGTGGCTGGCCTCCTGGGGACTGTCCTCGGTCCTGCATCCCCTCCCAGGACTGTCCTTACTCACCTACACTCCGCCCACAGGACAAGACCTTGAAAGGGGCTGAGGCCTTCCAAGGACCCCTGGCCGTGAACGGGGCTGAAGCCCACTGGTCCTGTGACCAGGCCAGGCCACTGCAAATCCGCCCACACTGAGCTCACGGCAGCCGGCAGTTTTTAGCAGCGGCCTTGGCCACCAGCTCAGGTGCTTATGGAGAGACTGTTTCCTGAGCCGCAGCTGACGAAGTGAGGAAGGGGCCGTGGGGGGGCCGAGCGGGGCCGGATGAAAGTGTGCACGACGTGTACAGTGGGCCTCCCAGCGACTCCCGCCCCCAGGGTCTAGAACGTGTCCTCACCTGATGGGCTGCCCTCGGTCATATGACTTCCTTCGGGTCAGAGGGGACGTCTCCGCTCCTCGAGACTGCCGGGGGCTGGAATGCAGGGTCCAGTGAGGCCCGGGCCCGCCTCCCGGTCCCACCCATGCCCCCACCACTCGGCTCCCTCCTTACAAAGTGCTCCCTCTGCTGGGCAGGCTGATGGTCCGAGAGACCTTGTCCCGGTAGTAGGGGTCTCGGATGGAGAAGCCCACTCCGTCCTCTTTGATCTCCACGAGGGAGGCCAGGGACTTAGTGATGTTCTTGGTGGACACGTCCAGCGGGGGGCCCAGGCACTCGGCAGACACGGCCTTCATCTGGGCGGACAGCTTGGGCTCACCCTGAGACAGGAAGGGCTGGGTGGACCCACTGCCCAAACACGATGGCATAGAACGGGGAGCTGGGGGAACTCCAGCGGGGAGACGCGCCGCCGGCCTGAGGCAGAGGAGGTGATGGAAGGGCCCCAGCAGACACGACCCAGGCACGTCTCCTGAGGCTTCTGGAGAAGCCAGACCAACAGGAAATGCCTCTGCTGCCCTTCTTTAGACTTCGCAAACAGAATGGCAGGCTGACCTCTGCTGCTCGCCAGCTAATCAACTACTCAGAGGCTGTGCACAGGTCGCCGCTCCCAGTCTGCAGGGCTCTCCCTTCTCTCTTTACTCAGTCCTGTTTCGTGGTTCCGTCTAGTCTAGTAGTTGCTCCCTCAGTGTCAGACAGACCCCCTCCCTGCTGAGTCAGTGACCCGCACGCACAGTAACTAGACATCCAGGGTGGGTCCTTGACTCAGATCAGGAGGCAGAGTCTTGGTGGGGAAGAGGGTGAGTTCTGACAGCGAGGCCTCGGGCCATGATGATGTCATTCCACCCACTTCAAAAGGAATGGGCTGTAACGGGTCACACATCTGGGCACCCCGACCCTTTCCAGGTCAGACCCTTCTTGGCCGCCGCATCCCAGCTGGAGGCAATACTGGGTTGGGGCTGAGGGTAGGGGTAGAGCCCCAGGAAGGTGGGGACCAGGCTGCGGGGAGCCCCCCGCCCCCCGCCGCCTTCTGGTGGGGCTCACCTTGAACTTGAAGTCGTCATGGCTGGTGGAGCCTTTCATGGTGAACGACTGGGAGAAGCTAAGGAAAAAGCAGAGGAGGGCCAGGATGCCGACAGCTGATGTCCCGGCTCCCCGGGACTTAGGTTCATGGGTCCCAAAGAGCCCCCAAGCCCAGGCTCAGCCCTCGACCCCCCGGCAACCCCCCAACCCAGCCCCAGGCACATGCTCGCTCCCAACCTGGAAACTCACCTCCCCTCCGAAAACTCAGACACCTCCTCATCTGTGCTGGCGTAGCCGTTCTCTGCCGGGGAGGAGGGAACCGAGGGGTGAGGCCCCACCGAGCCCTCACCCTCCCTCCCACCTCTCACCCTCTGGGATCAGACTGCGGCTTCCGGGGAGCCTGGGGGAGGGAGGGTCTCTGAGGCGGGGGTCCCTGGGGGCCCCGAGACCTGCCCCCCGCCCTGTACCCTGCTGCACGTTGTGGATGAGGGCCTGCAGCTCGGGATGGGCCTCGGCCTTCTCGCGCAGGGCGTCAAGCAGCAGGTGGTTCTGGGAGGGGCCCGCTATGTCTGTCTGCCTCAGCCGTCCCTCCAGCAGCCGGATCTGGGCCTCCTTCTGGGCCACCTGCAGCCCCTGAGGGCGGGGAGCGAGGAGGCCTGGGGTTACCCCTCCCGGCCTGGGGCTGGGGGGGGCCCCCGTCACTGCCCTCCCAGGATCTGCTCCCAACCAGGCGCCTCCCCGCTAGCTCCCAGGCCCCAGCCTGTGCCCATCGCAGACCTGTGATGCACCCCAGCCCCCTTAATCTCCCCCGCATCCACGCTGTGGGGCACACTCCCTGTTATGGGCAGAATCGTGTCCCCAGAATGCACATGTAGATGCTGTAACCTCCAGGACCTCAGAATGTGACTGTTTGGAGATGGGGTCTTCAGGAGATCATTACGTTAAAATGAAGTCTCTAGAGGGCGCCCTAATCCCTGTGACCGGTGTCCTTATAAGAGGAGGAAATCAGGACACAGACACACACAGAGGGAGGCCCTCAGGAAGGGCGAAGCTGAGTCTACAGACCCAGGAGCGAGGCTCAGAGGGACCCGCCTCGCCTACACCTCGATCTCTGACCCCAGCCTCCAGGACCGGGGGCAGGAGACGTGTGCTGTTTAGGGCCCCTGTCCGCGGTGCTGGCCACCGCAGCCCCGGTGGAGGAACACGCTCCCGAGTGGCGAAGCAGAGCTGCGAGAGCTCCCTGGGCGGGCGAGGGGTCAAAGAGGCCAGGCCCCTCTGCCCCTTCCCCAAGTTGCCCCGCAGGCACAGACCCCAGGGGAAGGAAGTCCCCACGGCCAGCGCTCTGTCGGGCAGAGGGGACAGGGGACCAACACAGGCCAAGGGATGCCTTCTGTTCCTGCACAATGCCACTGACCCCACTCCTGGGTGGAGCACGTCTGTCTGGTCCTGTTGCCCCACCGGAAGCGTGCGCGCGCGCGCGCGCACGCACACACACACACACACACACACACACACACGCTGCCCCCTCCACCTCCGTGGGCTCAGGCCCGGCCCTACTCTGGACGGGCTTGCACCAGATGCCAGGGTCGCCCCCGCCGGAGGCCCTGCTGTGTGCCAGGTGCCACGCCAAGCCTCTGGCCCCGTCATCTCGTTAAAGCCGCGCACGCGGCAAGCCGTCACCCCGCTTTGCAGCCTCGGTGCTCGCTGGCGCCTGTGAGGGACGCTGCCGGGCGCCCGACCGGGCGCTGTATGCTTCGCCTCAAGGGCGGGTCCCGGGGCTGCCCGCCGCCAGCCTACCTTGTCGATGGACGCCTTGAGGAAGTTGTCTAGCAGGAGGCGGGCTTCGGCCAGGGAGCAGGAGCTGATGACCACCGACGTGTCTGTGGAGTCCAGCTCCTCCTGGACCGGGAGGCGGAGGGCCCGCGTCACCAGGGCTGCCGCCCCCAGGCCCCGGCGCCCTCCCGCTGCCCTGCCCACAGGCACCTTGGTCTCCTCCAGCTGCACAATGGTGGCCTGGCAGTCGCCGATGCTGTCGTTGATGTAGTCGATGTTGGCCGCCAGCACCTCGATCTCCTCTGCCAGCTCCTGCAGCCCCTTCTCCTCCTCCGGGCTCTCGGCCTGCAGCCGCTCCCGCTTCCTCCTCAAGGCCTCCTGCAGGAGGGACAGCTCCTCCCTTTTCTGGGGGGAGGGAGGAGGCCTCAGGCTGCTGCCCCGGCCCAGTGGAGGAGGGGCGGGGCGACAGAGCCGGGCGGGGGCGGGGCGAGGTGGGCACCTTGATGAGCCGCTCCATGTCAGCCTCCAGGTTGGCGATGGCCATCCTCTGCATGACGATGTCGACAATCCTCCGCTCCAGCGACTGCCACTTGAGCCTGGCGGCCTTACTGAAGCTCTGGCTGGCCCCCTTCTTCTGGAACTTCTTTCTGGGGGGCAGAGGCAAAGGGGCGGGGGCAGGACCACCCTCAGCCCCTGCAGCTGCGTGGAGACCCCGACCCAGAGCCGACGGTCGAGGGGACCCTGGCGCTTGCCTCCCCCAGGTGCTCCCAGCCGCCTCACCTGGCGGGGCGGGCGCCAGACACGGTGGGCATGGGGTGGTTCTCCAAGAAGTGGCTGATCTTGTGGTCCCACTGGCGCACGATGCTGGAGACGGAGCGCGCCCCCGATTCGGCCTCGGACGAGGTGGTACTGGCCGACACCTCGGCGCCCGAGTCCAGCATGGGTGACTTTGGTCCCACTCGGCCCGCCACCCGCTCAGACATGGGCTTGGCCAGACGCCTCAGTGCAGAAACCTGGGGGCCCAAAGGAGTGGGACCCAGTGGACAGGGTGCCCCCAGCCTGCGGAAAGGCCCAGGTTGGGGCGCGGGGCAAGGAGAATACAGGACCGCTCCGTCCTGGCCTGGGTTTGGGACTGAGAAAGGTCCAAAGGGTCTCCAACGTGAAATGGACACAAAAGAGGCTCCCTGTCCTTTTGAAAAGTTAACCACTGCGGCAGGCATCTGGACCAGAGCCTGCAGCCCACCCCCAGCCTCAGCACTCTAGCTGAGAAAGGCCCTCCCACGGGGGCCACCCCAAGTCAGCACGTGGCCAGAGGGAGCCGGGGCCACAGGGGGGTGCTCTCAGGACAGGGGGGCAGGGCAGGGGCCGTGGGGGAGGGGCCATGCTCACCTCCTGGGTTTTTCTCCTCAGGACCATTTCCTGCTGCCGCTTCTGGGACTCCAGAGCTCGGATCTGAAACTATGGGTGAGAGGAGAGGGTGGGGTCTACACCCGGGCCCTAAGCCCGTTCCACCCAGGCTGGCCCTGGAGGTGAGCGCCTTGTGCAGCTAAAACTCGCTGGTAAAGGGGACCCAGCGTTTGAGTCCCTTTCTCCACGAGGACACGTCTCTCGGCCTCTTCTCTCCACCACGGGCGAGGAGGCTGGAGCAGAGGGCTGGAAGCTGTTGGTGACCTGGGCAGGGTCCTACCCGGCGGTGGGCTCGAGGCCTGGCTCGGAAGCCCACAAGGACCGGGCTGGGCTCCTGCAGCCGTCCTGCCCTCCCGTGTAGGGCCGCGCCTCTCCTCGAAGCGCCACCGTCACCGCTTAGGCCCGCGTGGCCAGGAGGGGCAGCCAGGCATGCAGGGGGCCGGGGGCCCGGGGAACCTCACGGTGCCCTCACCTCCTGCCGCCGCTGCTCCTTCTTGAGCTGTGCGATCTCCCGGTTCCTCTTGGTCTCCGCCAGCCGCCGCCGGTGTTGCTCTTCCCGCATCTGCTTCATCAGGGCCACCTGGGACGGGGCGGGGGGCGGGGGGGGTTTGAGGGGAGGCCCGAGGCCTGCGTGGAGGGGCTGGCTCGGAGGATGCCAGGCCGGGGTGGAAGCCACCAGGTGGCAGTGCCTCAGGGGGTCTGGCCCCACCTTGTCCACAGGGGTCGAAGGTGTCCCACCACCTGGGCAACCTACCGAAAGGAGCGGCCTTACTGCCGGCCCAGCCGTGCAGGTGGGACCAGTCTGCAGGGTCCAGCCACGGCCCCCAGTGCTCTGCTCACAGCCCCTGGCGGTCCTCACGCAGAGCCACTGCCAGTGCCCAGACATTCTGGGACCAGCCTAAGTTGCTAGAGGCAAGTGGTCCTGCCTGGATGGAGCAGCGTTCTCTCTCCCATCCGCAGCTGAGCTGCCGACGGGGCGCGTTCCCAGGCCAGGTTCTCACGGTGATGACGATAAAAACCAGCATCATTTACTGAGCCCACACTATATGCCCAGCCCCGTCCTCATGATAATCAAACACGACAGGCATTATCACTCCTATTTTATAAATAAGAAAGGGGCCTCAGAGAAACAAAATGACTTAAAGTCAGAAAATCAGTAAGGGGTGGCCAGACTCCTGGCCCAGGTCGCTTTGCTTCAAAATCCAGCTCTTACCATGGCCGTGGGGACGGCACCAGGCAAGGTCAGAGCAGAGCTGGCGACCAAGCACAGAGCCTGGAGCCGAGCTCTCGGAGGGCCGGCCAAAGGCTCAGAGAGCATCATCTGGGAGGCCAGAGGTGACCCGGCACAACGGGGAGCCGTGCGCTGGGTCCTTGGAGCATCCACCCCCCGGCCCCAGAGCACAGAGTGCAAAGTGCACAGGGGTCAGACTCCTTCCATGTGACGGCGCCATGAGAATCAGGTGCGGGCTGTCCCTCCTCTGCCACTGAGGCCTCAGACACCCCAGGAATGTCACCAGCCTGCCCTGAGGACAGTTAAGAGAGGAAATGGCCCGGGAGGGAGGCTGGAAGGACTGCGCCGGCTTCTGCCTCAGAAGGCAGGCTGTGTCGGGGGGAAGCTACAGAGACGAGGAGGGCTCCCTGCTGCTGGGCCTTTGGGGGTCCAGAACAAATGCTCCCTCAAAGGGCTGGGGCTGGCAAGAGAAGCCAAGCCTGGGCTGGAAGCGGACCCAAGCCCTGCCCACAGGGAGCTGCATGCACACTGGGACGGCCGCCCTCATATGGAGCCGGGGCCAGAGCCTTCCCGGGGAGGAACGTGTCTTTCTGGACAAAGGTCCATCTGTCCAACTCTGCCTGTGCGGCCGAGTCCCAGGGAGGTCACCACAGGGGTGGTGGCCTCAGAACGGGTGGGAACGCTCCAGGCAGGTGGCAGCACAGCACCCGAGGCCGGCACTGCTCTGAGTGTCTCCTCTCCTTAGGCCACCTCTGTAAACCGCAGGGCCTGCCCCTGAACTGTGGTGGCAGGGTCCTGGGCACTGGCTCTCGCGGCATCTGCTTAGAATCCTCGACGGCTGCCCTCAGTGCTTCTGACAGGAACCCTGGGCCCCTGCTGGGCACCCTGGGACAGCCCAAGGGTGCTCTTTTCAGCCTCTTTCCTAGGCTCACAAGAGCACAGTTAGCCGGGCAGAGCGGGGCCCCCGGCTGAAGGGCTGAGCAAGCTGAGATTGAAACCCAGGAACACGCAGGGACCCTCTGTCCTTCGCACAGATCCTGGGCATTATTATATTATTTTTTCAGGCTTCAGAGCCATAGAAAGATCCTCCCTCATACGGATCTACAGTAGAGTCACCTCCCGCTAAGATGACGGCCGGCCGGCACCAGCCAGGACCGCCTCGAGAGGTGTTAGCCAGGGAGCCTCCAGGGAGACAGAGTTAGGACGCAGGCAGAGCCCCCAGAACGCTCCAGGAGCTGCAGAGTGAGCAGTGCAGCCTCCAAATGGGGACAACCAAGGCCCTGGTCCCTCCCTCCTACCACCAGAGGGCGCCCGCCGACCCAAGTCCCCCTCTTCCTCCTGCAGCCCGGATCAGCATTTGTTGGTGGATGTCCCAGGGGCAAACCGGCTCCCTGGGGCCAGTGCAGGACGGACAGTCTGAGCAGAGCGAGACTGCCCCTTCTCCACCCTGGACAGGCTGATGGGCCCTGGATGTGTGGCCCAGGCGTGGCTGGGGACAGAGCCTGCCTAGGGGAGGTGGCTAGCCTGAGGGCTGAGGGTCCGCCTGTCAGAATCTGCATCACCACAGCGTCATCTCCCTCCGCTGCACACTGGTCAACGCCAGCCCAGTCGGGCGGTGAGGACGCAGTTACTACGGCACCGGGTGCTCCCCTCTGTGGGACCTGTTCCCAAGGCCAGCTGTCTGTAGCTCGCTGGGGTCCTGTCCCAGGGCCTGGTGCAGGGCTGCAGGGAGCCGGGGTACACGGGGGGCTGGGGCCAGGGCAGGAACGCGGACCAGGCAGCCAAGGGGACAGAGGACGTAAAGGCAGCACGGATCTTCGGGCCCAGGCGGGAAGGAGGACCCAGCCGGACGGGGAGGCATTAGAGACAGGAGCCAGACTTGAGCGCCCGGGACGACGGCAACTGGAAAAGGGTGGCGGCAGAGAACTGAGTCTGAATCCCAGCGCTGCCCCCGGAGGCGGGAGTCACTCTCCGAGGAAGTGGCAGTGACGCCTGAGCGGCTTTCTCCAGCTCCCCTCAGGACCGAGTGAGGTCGTGGTGCTGGGGGACTGGCGGAGAGCCACATCCAATCGTCACTACATAATTATTGTTATTATGAGTATAGGCAAATGTGGCACAGGTGGGAGGCCTCACGTGCACTGCGTGAGGGGCGGAGTCCCTGGGGACCCTCTCCTGCCCCTCCAGGGGTAAAGGTGCTTTCACCCTGGACAACGCACTAAGAGGACCGGGTCCAGGACCAGGATGGGGCTGAAACAGGCAATATCGTGTGTCAAGACAAGCAGCCACGCTGACAGCAATGATTATTTTTAACATGGTAAGTAGGTCTGAAACTACACCCCTGCCCCCACGGCCCCCTTTTGACGCCTTCATCTCGACCCCGCCCCCACTCACCCCCGCCCCGCCCCTACCCCGGCCTTCTTCCTCCCGGCCCCGCCCCCGCCCCACCTTGGCCCCGCCCCCAGTCCACTGTGGCCCGCCCCCGCTCCACCTTGGCCACGCCCCACTCCCACCTTGGCCATGCCCCCGCCCGCCCCAGCCCCCGCCCCGGACCCAGCCCCCCGCCCCGGACCCCACCTTGGCCTTCTTCATCTCGGCCACCTCGGCCTGCAGCTTCTTGAGTTCCCTCTCGTAGCGAGACTGGTTCTTGAGCAGCCGCGCGTGCTCCTTCTGCGCAGCCTGCAGCTTCTGCAGGTCCCGGTTCATCTCCCGCAGCCTCTTCTCATAGTCCGCCTTGATCTTGTTGGCCTTCTCCTCCGTGTAGCACTCCATGGTACCTGCGTGCGGCGGGGCAGGGTCTGCGCAGGTCCCTGGGCCCCAGTACCCGGGCAGCCTGGGCTCCAGTGTCGGCGCGTGACGTGGGCGAGTCACACCCTCCTCCGCCCGTTCCTTCGTGTGAACAAGGAGGGGCTCGGACTAGACACCCAAGGGCATTCTAAGGACCTTGAAGGGGTGATTTCATCCTGAGATCTCTGAGCCCCTGCCCGTCAGCTTGCCATGAGGGGCCTGAGGACCACTTCCGCTGGCTCGGTTCTGACCCGTGATTGGAGGAAAGGGCCGGGACCAGTGGGAAGGGGAAGAGTTAGCAAGAGAAGACAGAGTGAGTGGGCTCGGGGAGAAGGAGCGACCTGGTTCTCCACCCTTGACCTTTCCTACCTGAACTGCCAACGTCTAAGAGACATGGCAAACTAGCAGGTGCAAACCCACCTCCTCGACCTCCACCCCCTCACCCAGCAGTCCTCCCCATCTCGGTATCTCATCACATCCTTCCAGAAGCTCCCTCCCTGGAGGCATCTCTGGCTCCCTTCTCTTAATCCCCCACCAACCAATCAACAGAGGCTTTCACTTCCACCTTCAAAATGGATCTGGAATACGACCACTTCTCACTTCCTCCTGTCCAAACCATCTCCCACCAGGACCTTTATAAGAGTTTCCTAACTGGTCTCAAGCTTCCACTTTTGCTTCCCTGCACAGCAGCCAAAGCGACCTTGCCAGAATGCTTTCAAAATTTACATCACAGGGCTTCCCTGGTGGCGCAGTGGTTGAGAGTCCGCCTGCCGATGCAGGGGACACGGGTTCGTGCCCCAGTCTGGGAAGATTCCACATGCCGCAGAGCGGCTGGGCCCGTGAGCCATGGCCGCTGAGCCTGTGCGTCCGGAGCCTGTGCTCCGCAACGGGAGAGGCCACAGCAGTGAGAGGCCCGCGTACCGCCAAAAAAAAAAAAAAAATACATCACACCCCTTAAAACCCCACACTTCCCATGTCCCTCAGAGAATAAGACAAAAATCCTTAAAATGACTGACACACCTGGTCCGACATTTCTCCTCTGATCTCCTTGACGGCTAGTGTCCCCTCTCACCGTGCTCCAGCCATCGGGGCCCTCGTCATGCCACCAACACGCCCGGTGCACGCCTGCCTCGGGGCCTTGGTATCTTCTGTTCCCTCTGCCTGCAATGCTCTTCCCCTCACTCATTCTCTCCAGAACTATCTCACCTCCTTCAAGTCTTTGCTCAGATGCCAGCTTCTCAGCAAAGTCTCCCACCACCATCCTTCTCAACACGCCCACCCCCTCCCCAGCACACCTTGCCCCCTTCCCTGCTGCATTCTTGCATGACACTTATCGCCCCCTGACATGCTATAGGATCTGCCACTTATCTTATTTACGTCTGTCTCTCCCCACTAGAACGTGCGTTCCAAAATCTCTAGCATCTAGAACAAGGACCGCTCTGCAAGACGTACTCAATGCATGTTTGCTGAGTAAGCGAACGAACAAGTGGATGAGTGCGTGAGTCACGGGATTGAAGGGGTTGAGAGCCATGTAAGGAAGATAACATTGTGAGGAGCAGACTTGTAAATGCGATCAAAGGAAACACCCAAGGAGCAAACTCAGGAAGAAAGGCTGAGGGAGTTCACCTTCATGGGCCTGGAGACAGGATTCTAATACTTAAGGCGATGGTAAAAATAATAGAAATGATAAACTGAGAACGTAGCAAAGGGACCAGAGTTGGACACAAGAACTTTCTGACTGTGGGTCTAAGTGCACACAGTCCAAGGTCAGAATGCCCCGCCCAGAGGCCCAGGTAACCCGGTGGTGCCCTTCTGACGGGGAGGGGCCCGGGGAGGGGGTGTGTGGCGGGTACGGGGCGGGGCTTCGCGGGGGCGGGGCCTCACTGAGGTTCTGCAGCACGCGGTCCCGCTCCAGCTGCGTGTCCCGGATCTTGTTCTGCAACAGGATCAGCTTCTCCTCGTACTGGTGCTTGAGCGTCTGGAGCCGCCGCTGGCTGTTCTCCAGCTCGTCAATCAGCTTCTGCTTGATTTCGATCTCGCACGTCAGGTCGGCCAGGTCAGCCTGGTAGTTCACCTCTGTGGAGGCAGAGACAGGCTGGACCGGGGGCCGGGGGCCAGGGGCGTGGTGGAGGGGACGGGCCTTCCCCTGGCCAGCCGTGAACACTCAGTGACCAGTGGCGAGAGGAAGTGACACATCCCATGGTGGGAAGTGCTGCCTGGTGGCAACACCCTTAAAGAGCTGCCCGGGAAGTGCGGGCCTGGGCCAGGGAACTGGGGGGTGGGGCGACCAGGCGTCCCACCCGCCTCTGCTGTGCCCCAGAGGCTGATGCCCACTCGCCGTGGACGACCTGGGAGCCAGCAGGGCTGGAGGAGGGAGAGGACCCAGAGCAGCCAGCAGGACTCTGGGTCGGAGCAGAGCTGAGGGACACACGTCCCGTTTAGAGGAGTGGGCTGCAGACCAGCCAGACCTAGGTCCAAGGCCCAGCTCTGCATCTCCCACACGGGGAGGCCACCAACCCTCGTGAGCTTGCTCTTCAGTGGTGACAAAGGGAGAAGACCTAACACCTCCGTCCAGGGTGGTTGTGAGGATGCAGAGGCCAGGCCCGTGAAGGGTAGAGCTCACCTCAGCGCCCGGCACCCGCGGGCGCTCAGTGAGAGTTTGCTGCTGCCATCGCGTCCCTGTTGTTTCTGCTACTACTGGTTTCACGTCTGAGTTCGGCCGGGACACCCGCTGCCGCAGCAGTTTCTCTGCGCCTGCGTGGCAGGCAGCCCCGCCCCGGGCAGCCCCACCCAGGAGCACGCACGCACGCACGCACGCACGCACGCACCCTTGTCCTCGGGGTCGGAGTCCGAGTCCACCAGGCTCTCCTCGCTGCCCGAGTCCTCGTCCTCACGGCCGCTCTCCTCCGGCTCCTCGTCCTCCTGGGCACCAGGCGCCGTCAGGAGGGTGGGGAGTGCGGGGTGCGCGGTGCTGGGGGGGCCTCCCACCCACGCCTCCCAACAGCCTGGGCAGAGCCCCTCTATGGAAGTCTCCCGTCCCCATCCCCCAGCTGGGAAGAGGGGCTGAAGGATGGACGTCACCATGGTGACCAGTCAGATACCCCGAGGCATAAGGAGCCCCTCCCCGGCGCAAGGACGTCATGGCGACCCGCACCCCGGCAGGGACATGGGGGCGGCCCGAGGTGGGCGGGGGACCCTCACCTCCTCGGCCTCATTGTCATCGGTCTCCTCGCTGTTCTCCTGTTGGAGTTTTGCCCTCTTTTTGAAGGCTTCCTTCTCTGGGCTGCCCAGGAGTGAAGGGTGGACCGGTTAGGGTACTGACCAGCCTTCAGTGTGTGGGTGGGGCGGGGGGATGGGGGGGCAAGAGCGCCTCGTCTCTAGGGCCCTGTATGGGGCTGGGCTCCGGTTCTGCAGGGATCCACTGCTCTTCCCTGGCCCCCAACTCAGAATGAACCCTGGGTGGACTCCACCCTCCCTCTCCTCGGGGAAAGCCCAGCGTCAGAGGAAGGTGGGAGGCTTCTGCCCACAAATGAGACCCGCCCACTGAGTCCCCAGGTCACCCGGGGTACGCACAGCCCCTGCTGGACACAGGGTCCTGGGGGCCGCCTGGGGGGAGCCTCCCCTCACCTCTTTCTCCGCTGCCTGACCTCCTTCTTCTTGAGCCTCTCCAGGTCCTGCTTGGCTCGGCGGATGACCTCAGCGGCATCCTCCATGGAGCCGGTCGGGACGACCGGGGACGCGCCCAGGGAGTAGGGACCCCGGGTCGAGGCCCGAGAGAGGCTGCGACGCAGGGACTCGTTCATGGCCTCGCTCTCCAGGAGCTTGGTCCTGCGGAAGGGAGGGTGGGTGGCGGGTGAGCGGCACTGCCTCGGCCCCAGGGCGCCCAGGTGCGCAGGAGCTCACTCACCGCAGGTCCTCAATCTCCCGGATGTAGTTCTGGATCAGAGCGCCGATGGCCTCGCTGCCGTCTCCTGAGGGGGTGGCAGGGAGGAAGAACAGTTAAGATAATAAGTACAGAAAGGACCTTAGCTCCAAGCTGGTGGTCTTATATCACTGTCTCCTCCAACAGGGCCTTTTTCAAGGAGGAATCTATCAAAGAGGGACTTGTCTGTGGGCGCAGAGACACACAGGCACAGCTGCTAACGGCGAGACTGGAAACAAGCAAATATCCATCACTAGAGGCTGTTATGATAAATTATTCGTCGCCATCACATATGGAACACTGTGCAGCTGAAGAGCATTAAGTAGGCTTGTATGTTTTTAATACGGAAAGATCCAGGGACTTCCCTGGTGGCACAGTGGTTAAGAATCTGCCTGCCAATGCAGGGGACACGGGTTCGATCCCTGGTCCGGGGAGATCCCACATGCCGCAGAGCAACGAAGCCCGTGCACCACAACTACGGAGCCTGCGCTCTAGAGCCCGCGAGCCACAACTGCTGAGCCCGCGTGCCACAACTACTGAAGCCCGTGCGCCTAGAGCCCATGCTCCGCAACAAGAGAAGCCACCACGATGAGAAGCCCACTCACCACAACGAAGCCTAGCCCCCGCTCGCCGCAACTAGAGAACGCCCGCGCGCAGCAGCGAAGACCCAACGCAGCCAAAAATAATAATAATAAAAAAAAAATACAGAAAGATCCCTACGGCGTAATGCTAAGTGGAAAGGGAGTCAGAGGACAGTACATACGATCGCATTTTCAGAGAAAGAAAACGCCGCCCTGCACGCCCCACGTCCTGGGCTGGGTCGGGGGCGGAGGGCCCAGCCCACCCGCGCCCGGAGCCAGCCTGGCGCTCCTGACTCACCGGCCTTGGCCAGGAGCAGGTTGGCCTCCTGGCTCATGAGCTGTGTGACACGGCTGTTGATGGCGTCGATGGCCTCCTGCATGGCCTTGACCCGCAGGCGCAGGGCCCCATTCTCCTTCTGCAGCATCGCGTTCTCCCGGAACAGGTCACTGTAGCCCTCGGCGCCATCCTCCCCGATCACCCTCTTGCCCTGGGAGGAGGGGCGGGGCGAGGGGTCAGGGGCGGGGAGGCGGGGGGTGATGATACTCTTCCCCGCCACCCCCGCCCCGGCCCCTCCCTCGGCGAGGCGGCCCTGCCAACCTCCCAGCGCTCAGAAACCTGCCGTGGCCCCAGTGACAACAAAAAGTCCACATTTTGGGACCAGCCACTGCAGGCCACTGTGTTCTCACCCCACCTCCCTCTCTACTGCTCACCTTCCCGTCTCCCCAGACATGAACCCGAGGGTGGGAACCCGAAGGGCCCCGGTGGGTGGCACGAAGGAGGACGGCAGTCTGGGTGTGAGACTACAGGGAGGGGTGGAGATTGGAGCACAGAGTCGCCCTCAGTGTAAAAGGCGCAGCCACTTGGGCCACTCCAGCCAGCTCAGCGCCAGATCATTACATCTTCAGATTTTTAAAGGAAAACGGAAACTCCCTGATTTTCAGAAAGCACGACAACTACGTTGCATTCTTCTAAAGCAAAGGGCGAGTCAAACCAAAGCCCACTTGTGTGCTAGGTTCGGGCCAGGGGCCACAGCTGGTGACTTTTGCCTTAGTCACACAGAATGGGACGCACCCCCAAAGGCACTCGTTTTTCCTGTCTCTGTTCCTTTGCACGTGGCTTGTTGGCATCCTAGGACACCTGCTCCACTTCCTTTTGCTGGTGTCTCATTCATTCCTCAAGATCCATATAAAAGGTCCCCTCCTCCATGAGGCCGCCCCGACCACCTGAGCAAGGAGGGCCAACCCTCTCCCCGGCAGCATCCCCCAGGCACGCTGGACCACTCACCTGGCCCCCATCAACTCTCCTCATTCTGTACCGCAGCCTAGTCTTACCTGGCCCAACACGGCATATTCAGCAGACGGGAAACCCCAGCAGAGCGTCTGCCCTACACCTGACATCTATGCAAGCAGGGGTGTGCTCTTCCTTCTCTTATATTCTAAGCCCTGAGGGCTCCGACTTCGTATGCGCAGGTCACCCACCAGATGAGCCCGGCACTGGGCACCGTGGCTGGCACATGGCGATGCCCAGGGCGCGGGGAGGCCGGGGGGGGGGGGCCCGCTCACCGCCTTGTACTCCATCAGCTCCATCTGCAGGCGTGCAATCTCGGCCCGCAGCGCACTGATCTGCTGGCTGGTCTTGTCCTGGTTCACCACCACCTTGTTCTTGATGTTGCGGGCTCGGTTGGCGTATTTGAGCGTGTTGAGCGTCTCCATGAAGTCCCGGTCAGAGGGGCTCACGCAGGCGATCATGATGGTCTGGCTGGGGAGCATGGGGGAGTGGGGTGGGGAGTGAGGGACGAGGGCATGGCCGGCCCAGGAGCGTCACTTGAGAGCAGATCCCGCTCCCGCCTGGAAGCCCTAAGGACCTGGGCAGAACCTGGGACGTGGGGATCCGGACTACCTAGCCCAGGTTTCCATTCCAACAGTGGTGACCACAGCGAGGGAGGCCGTGATGTGTCATCGCTGAAATCATGGCCCTGTGTGTGTCCTTAGCGCCCCCGTCTATTTTCCCGTTTGGGCTCTAGCACCTCCTTTAGGACTATCCCTCCCTGCTGTGCAGTTGAGAAAGCTGGGTCCGACCGTAGTGGCCGACGGGCACCTCGAGGCCTGCGGCCCACAGGGGCGGGAGGGCCCCCTGTCCACTGGGCCTTCTGCCTCCAACCCTCCCACCAGTGTGCCCCTGCGCCTTCACCCCTGCCCCTCCCTGGGGTGGTGGGCAGGTACCTGTTGCCGCCCAGCGAGTCCTGGAGGAGCCGGGTGAGCTTGGAGTCCCTGTAGGGCACGTGCACCACTTTCTTGCTCTGGTCCCCCAAGGCGCTGATCACGTTGCCCAAGGCCAGCTGTGGGAGACAGGCGGTGCGAGATAGGCGGCGCTGGCGCTCGCTGGAGAGCACCCAGGGAGGGAGGGGGGTGGGACCAGCGGCTCGTGAGCCGCAGGACCTGCCCCGCTGACCCCAGCAGCCCTCAGGCTCCCTGAGGGTTTAAAGGCAGATGTGTGATGGTTGGTGACGTCAGGCAGTCGGGGACAGGGGGAGGGGGAAGGTCCAGAGGCCCAACAGCAGTGACATACGGGGCTCCGGCCAGTAGCCGGCCCAAGGGGGGCCTGGGGAGGGTCTGAGGCTGAGCCGTGCTGGCCGCCGCGTGCCTACCAGGCCACAGTTGATGGAGATGCCCTCCTTGGCCCGCTCGCCTGTGGCCCCCGTCCGCTTCAGCCGCTCTGAGCCGGCCAGGTCCACAAAGTGAAACTTGGCGGTGAGCGTCTCATACTCGCCCGAGGGAGCGGTGCCGTCGGGAAGCCCGGTCACGGCCTCGTTCACCTGCAGGGAAGCGGGCGTGTGACTCCCGGCCCCCGCCCACCTTGGGTTCCTCTGCTCTCAGCCCCTGCCCTCGGGATTCGGGGTGCAGCGTGGCTGGGGGGCTCACACACACAGCGCATCTGACTGCGTGCACGTGCCGGTTCTCCCCGCCTGAGAAAAAGAAAGGTCCGCAAGCCAGCAGGGTGAGCCCGAGCCCCAGAGCCCGGGCTCCGTCCCCACCGCGCCCTCCGACACGCCGCCACGGGCTCCTCACCAGGTCGGGCCGGGTGCACAGGCGCATCTGGCACACGTGGATGGTGAAGATGGCGTGGGAGCGGGAGCTCTGCACGTTCATCTGGGTGCTGGCCGTGGTGCGCGACAGGGCGCCCTGCTTCAGGCACTGGATCAGCTGGGGAGTGCAGACGTGAGGACCAGCTGGCTGCAAAGCCCGGCCCCCAGCCCCCAGCCCCCAGCCCCCGGGCGGCTCCTCAGATGCTCACCTCCTCCTGGGAGCTGATGAGGCGGGAGGTGACACCCGTGGTGTAGATGCCGCCGTTGGCGTCCTCGTGGATCTTGATGTTGGACCTGCGGTGGCGGGCGTCAGGGTCGCGGGCGCTGTCGAAGAGGTCGAGGATCTCCTCGTTGTAGAGCTGTGCGGGCGGAAGACAGCCGCTGGGTGCAGGTGGGTGCGGAGGGGCCCCGGGGGCTCTCTCTCGTGTCACAGGCCAGCTCTGCTTTGCAGGTGTGGAAACCAGGCTCTGGGAGGCGACCTGGCCACCCCCGGTCCTCTCTGGGCTCTGGCTCCGGGGTCTTTCCCCTGGACAGTGTAGGGCAGCTGGGCCCCAGGGAGAGCTATCCTGAGAGCCCTTCCGCTCCCCAAGGAAGTGGCACCCAGCGCTCAGCCCTGGTGGGGGGCTAAGGACCTGGTGGGGACAAGGGGACTCGAGTCCTCACGTGGACGAACAGCATGTGACTGTGGTTGGGGCAGAGCCTGGGACGTTACAGGGCGGGAAAGGCGGGTGGGGGTGTGGCTCCAGGAGGGAGGGGGGTGGAACTCAGGGGAGAGCTGAGCAGCGCCCTGTCCTATCCCTGTGGTCCCTGGGGGCTGAGGAATGTGGGATGGAGAGCAGTCTGGGGACGCCACCACGGGAGGTGGCCTGGCCAGGAGCAGCACCCCATTTCAGAGGGTCTCAGGCTTGCACACGCTTGTGTTTGGAGTCGCTGGCAGGGAAAGTTTCACCTGCTGGCGTTTCCACCATGCAGGGGGGATGGGGCAGCTGGTCAGCGGCCAACAGAATCCCGTGGGGGGAGAGGCAGGCCACAGCCCTCGGACATCCGAGGCTTTGATGGCCTTAAAGGGACAGAAATACCCCACAGGAAGGGGAAGAGGAAACGGCAGGGACCGGTGCAGACGTGGGGGCCTTGGTGTCTGTCTGTCTGCTGGGACAGACGCATGGCATCATTTAACCCCTTGTGGGTCACCCTTTGGCATGGGTTTTCTAGGTGCTGAACTGCTCTTTGGGGCCCTCAATGGCAAAAGGATGGAGAAAGGAAAAAGCAAAGAGATGAGGGAGCTTACAGAAATACACAGCATAGGACATGCATACACACAAACACAAAGACACACACACAGACGCACACACATATGCACACATATACCCACACACATACACAGACACACACGTATACACATGCCTCACACAAGCACAAACATGCACCTACACACATCTACACATACGTATACACACGCACACACAGACACACGCACATGCCTACACACACACACACACAGACACGTATAAGCACATATACACACACAGAGGCAAACTCTTTATCAGAAGCAAAAGTCCAGAAGAATAAAGAGAAACTCTCAAGTCTACAGTACAGGTCCCCTAGGGGAAAGTAGCCACGCTGCAGGCCCAGGAAGGAGCCACGCTGGGGCCGGGGTCGGGGGGCGTGGGGGGGGGGGGAACACGAGACCTGGGGAGGGCTGGGGCCACATCTCTCCCCCCGAGGACAACCTGGGTGCAGTCTGAGCCCAGGGTGGCTCCACACCCAGCAAACGTCCCCAGGCCGGGGGTCCGTGAGCTGGAGTTTGGACACTGGGAACTGGAGCTACCCGGTCCAGGTGTGCTAGAGCAGGAGCCCGGTGACACCGGGCCTCACGAGAAGTACCCAGGCCCACCGGCCTTCCTGGAGACGCTTCTGAGAGGCCCCTTGGCAGGCCAGAGGTCCCCTCCCCATCCCCAAAGCCCCTAGCTGCCACGGTGCCTGGGCTCGGCGCCCGGACATCCTCCCAGGGAGAGGCAGGGACAGATGCCAGAAAGGCCCCTCAGGAGGACCACCTTCCTGCTCTGGGGTTAGAAAAGGCTCAGAGGGTCAGGAAGGACCTCAACCAGAAAGGGACAGGGCAGGCCGCTCTGAGGCTGGGGAGGGCCCAGCAGAGGCCAGAAGGGGCGAGAACTAGCGTCTCACTGTGTGCTGGGCAGGTGCTTCCTCATCATCCCCTGAACCCCTAGGAAGTAGGTGTCATCACCCCCATTTTGCAGAGTGGTGAAACGACTTGCCCAAGGGCACACATCTGGTACGTGTCGGAGCTGTCATCAGTCAGGCTTTGAAGAGATCCTACAGGTTCTCACTGACTCAAGCTCCGTCTGAGGCAGGAAGCCCCTTCAGTGTCCCACCAGGTGGCCCCCCGGCTCTGGCGGGGGTACTTCCAGCAGCGGGAACCTCGATCACATGCAGATGCCTCCCTGGCTCCCCAGGCTCTTCCTGCGGCCCTGGCAGGGAGCCCAGCTTCCAGGTCTTGCTGCCCCCGTCTCCCTCCAGCCCACCCACGAGGCCACGGTACCTCCAGGAACTGGGCGCTGACTTTGAACTCGGGCCCAGCCACCCCCTGCTCCTGTGCCCGCCGCTTGCGCTCAGCGATGCCCCCGAAGAGGTGCGCGATGGCCCTCGGGATGATGCCCTGCTCCTCCTCCGCCATCGCCACGTCGAAACCGGTGCCCATAGTGTACGTCTTCCCGGCCCCCGTCTGCGTGGGCAAAGATGGAAGGAGGGTGGCACCCAGCACCCTGGGGGCGCCCGCGAGCCCCGGACCCCGGCTGCGTCCCCCTCATTTACCTCCCAGCCCGGGTCCCTGCCCGGCCTGGTCCCAAAGCCGCAGCCAGCAACGCAGCAGCACCCTCGGACCACAGACAAAACCGCAGCTGCGTCTCAGCTGCTCTGAGGGCGGCTCTCCCATCAGACAGGGAGCCCGGGGCAGCAGTGGCTGTGGGAGAGAGGGGGCAGCTTACCTGCCCGTAGGCCAGCACCGTGGCATTGTAGCCCTCGAAGCAGCCCTCCACGAGCCTGCTCACGCAGGTAGAGTAAATCTGCTCCTGCCAGGTGTCCAGGTCGAACACGAAGTCATAGGTGAAGGCCTTGTCCTTCCCCAGGAGGACCTGCGGCTCCCCCGGGGTGACCGACGTGCAGATGTGGCAGCCCTCAATCTTCTCTTTTGACAGCTGGGGCCGGATCCTGCCCGGGGTGGGGGGAGTCCTGGGTCAGACCCAGCTGCGGGGGGACTGCAGCCACCGTCCTCCCCGTCCTGCCACCAAGCCTCCACCCCCCAAGGGCCCTCCTGCCCCACAAGCGGGAGGAGAAGGAAGGAAACCTAGGATGCGGGCAGCTTTGTAATACTACGCTAACAGTTACGGCAACAGTAGCGTCAACACCCCCCGAAGTAGCAGCTGCTAACGCTTTATGAGCGCGCCGTGTATCCAATCTACGCCGTGTATCCAATCTACGCCGTGTATCCAATCTATCTACGCCGTGTATCCAATCTATCTATGCCGTGTATCCAATCTATCTACACCGTGTATCCAATCTATCTACGCCGTGTATCCAATCTATCTACGCCGTGTATCCTATCTACGCCGTGTATCCAATCTATCTACGCCGTGTATCCAATCTACGCCGTGTATCCAATCTACGTTAAAGGCATTTTACCTAAATGAAGTCATGTATTCGCTACCATAAACCGGCGACGGATGTATGATTTGCCTGACTTTACAGAGGAGAAAACAGAGGCTGGGAGAGTTTAAATGACTTGCCCAGGGTTGTGTAACGGACCGTGACAGGTCTGACTGACATTAAAGCACACGCTCCCGATTGGAGCGCGTGAGTCTGTCCCACGGAGCGGGGGAGAGTAGGCAGCTGGCCCCCTTCTAGGTAGGCAAAGCCCAAGTCCAGGCAGGGGAAGGAAGGGCGAGGCCTGGCTGCTCCCCCCGGGGCTATGTTCCGCAGGAGACCTGCGTCTCTGCCCAGGCCTGCGGGGGCTGCAGGGATCCCGCAGCTCAGGACCCGCCCCCCTCTACCAGATGCCGGAGGAACAGTCGCAGGCACAAGCTCTTTCCTCTCAGGGAGCCAAGGGAGCCAGACCAGGCACAGCCCTGCGGAGCAGGTCCAGGCAAAAGTTGGAGAAAGGCAGGGATCTCCAGCAGGGGCACCAGCCACAGAAGGGGCCGCGTCCCAGACCCTGGGGGCTCCCCGCTAAAGAGGAAGGCAAGCGGCATCAGGGCTGGGGTGGGGGGCGCAGCCTTGGACAGGGCCGTCTCCATGCGCCGCCCCTTCCCCTCTTCCAAGCAGCCACTGCCGGAGGAGGTCCCCATGGCAACCAAGTGTGAGTCAGTGAGCATGCGTGTGTCGGGATTGGCGGGGAGCGCCTCCTGATGCCTAAAGTAAGGCGGGGGGTAGGCTTCGCGCTCATGGGCTCACAAAGCCAGCCCCTCTGCCGGCCTCTCACAATGAGCTACTTGTCAGCATCCCTCTCCCTAAGCCAACATTTACCAAGAGAAGAAAAGAGTGCGAGGGCCAGGCCGGCAGGCGTCCAGGACCTCGGGGCGCCTTGCTGCAGAGGCGGGCCCTCCAAGCCGCCATCCTGTCCCTGTCCCCGGCTGTCCAGCCCCGAGGCCCCTCAGAGCTGCAGGCCAGGTGAGGTGCTCACCTGGGCCTGCTACCTGCACTTTGCTGCGAGGGGGTTAAAGAGGCCGGGGGAGCAGGTGGTTAGAACCCCAGGTCCAATTCACACCCATGGTAGGTGGCCTTCCTTCAGCAGCCTTTCCCCTGAGGTGTGGACAGGTCCTCACACCATGGAGGCTGCCAGGTCCGGACGTCCAAGGAGTCTACCACCCCCTCCCCTCATCCAGCTGTTCCGGGCCAGGCTGAAGTGAGAATCTAGCTTCTCAGTCTCCCCCAGACTGGTTTCTGGCTGGGAAGGGAGCTGTGGATTCCACCCATCCTTTCTGCACCTGCAGACCAGAAACCTGACCTGCCAGTAATACGCCCAGGCTGCAGCGCTCCCACCTGGACCGCCGGTGGTGGTGGTCCCCACCGTGGACGAGGAAATAGATGGCGCCCAGCCAGTCGCAGGCAGCAGGGGCAGCAGGGTCTGAGCCCGGACGGTGCGTGCTCTGCTGCTTCGATGCTCCCGTGCTTCATGTGGCTGAGGGGCAGGGCCCAGCGTGCCAGGCAGTGACCTCAGAGGGGACCAGGCCTCAGGTGGGAAATCAGGAGCTCGGACCCGGGGGGCCCAGGGTGTCCAGGGCTCCCAGGGCTACCAGGGGCCTGGCAGGGGCAGCCTCTGAGGCCCCTCCAGCTCCCACAGACGCCCTCCCTGCCACGTGGGCTGCTTGCAATGGGATTTCTGGATCCAGTTCAAGCACCATTTAATTACCACAGGCAGATGGCAATGCTGGTGATTGGAGGAAATCGAATCAGGGTCCCGGGAGCCAGTGGGAGCGGGGGAGGGAGCAGCAGCCCTGCCGGGCAGAGCCCATTGACAAGGGGCCAGCTTCTGCCCCACCCACCAGCCCCCAGACCAAGAGGGCGGCCAGAAGAGCAGCCTAGGGGACAGGGCGTAGAGGAGGGACCCCAGGTGTCGCGGGGCCAGCCAGCATTCACCCTGGGACCCTCCAGAGCCTGGCACATCCTGGTGTGGGGTGCTCTGGAGTCAGAGAGCCGGCCCCATTCTCCGCACCAGTGTGCTTGGCAGGTATGACGGGTGAGTACTGCTATGCAGAGAATGGGGTACCAGCTGGGGGACAGAGGACACGGGCCCAGGATGACTCACTAGTTACCAAAGCCACTGACCTGGATGAGGAGGGGAGTGTGTTAGTCCCAGGAATGGGCCTTGAATGAGTAACTGGAGACGGCGGCACAGAGAATGAAGATTGCATGGATGCCTTCCACGTGCAGGTGCTGGGCCAGGCACCGGCCACGGACCACCTCACTTAAGGGAGGTGATGAGCTAGGGATTTCAACGCCCACTGTCCAGAGAGGAACGTCGAGGCTTGAAGCAGTTGAGTCACACACAGTAAATACAGGGAAGCTGGGAGTCTGAAGCCTGCGGCTTCTCCACTTGTCCAGCTGCCTCCTGCCCGGGAAACTCAATGTCTAGGTGGATATATAAACTCCCTCCACGCATCACCATTAGGGGCAGGAGGCAGCCGGGGGGAGTCCTACCACAGCCTCACACATGGGCCAGGCTGGGCTCCGGCGCCCAGCCTTCAAGGCACAGTCCAGAGGGGGCAGGCATCCTGGGGCGCCTGCCCAGCACACCCTGCCCAGTGGAGAATCTGAACCCAGGCCCTGCAGGCAGGAGATAAAGACGGTCCCTGGACAAGCCCCTACCCCATCCTCCTGTGGTCCGGGAGCCCCCGCTTCCTCCTGTGTCATCTGGACGACCTCTTCCCAGCTTTAACTTTCTAAGAACTCCATCGCCCTCCCCTCCGGCAGCTCCTGTCCCGGCCCCGCCTGGGGTGAGGTCACTACTGTGGGCTGCCCTGAGAGCTAGTGGCCCTCCGCCAGCATCACCGCCCCAGATGAGGGGAAGGAGGCTGCTTCCGGCTATGCAGGGTGGCAGGATGGCAGGATAGCACCACTCCCAGCCCTGTTCCTCCCTTGGGGCGCGGGCGGGAGGTCAGGGGTGGGAACCAGGTTCCAGGGTCTTGCCAGTAAACCATGGACGCTGGGTGCTGTGGACCAGATGCAGGGCCGGGGTGAGGTGAGTGAGGTATTCGCCTCAAGTGCAAAATTTAAGGGAACATGAAAAAAACTCAGTAATCAATATAAGTCATGATTTAATGCAATGTTTGGAAACTCAAGTTGGCAAACCGTGCTGCCTGTTTTTGTCAAAGTTTTGTGGACCCAACGTCCAGTATCATTTCTGTCCAGAGACCCCCCTGAATGTCACCCATGGGCACCTCACGCCAAGCCCCATCCCCCCCAAACCTCCCCCATCCCTTCTCCAGGTCCTGCAGGGGGAGGGCGGGCGGACGGCCCCACTAAGAAAGGCCCGGAATCTCCCAGAACAGAGCCCGGTCTATTCGCCACTCGGCAACCCGCAGAGAGGGCGGTGGGAGGGGACGGGGGCGGGGGCGGGGACGGGGGCGCGGAGAAAGGGGCGGCGCTAGCTCTTCGGAGGCGGGATCTGGCCCAGGGTCCTCGGTGCTGTGGCTGGTGAATTTAGTATCTGTCCACACACGCTGGCGCAGAGGGACTGCGGGCGCTCGTGGCCGCCCCCTCACAGGCTGATGCTCCAGGCGGGGGACAGAGGCCGCCAGCCCGAGCCCAGGCCTGCGGCAGCCGCTGAGCTCAGCGGTCCCTGGGCTCTTCGGGGAGCCGGCACAGGGCGGAAGGGGCGGACAGCGGAGACAGGCAGGCCCGGGAGATGCTGATACCGCCCAGGAGGAAAAGTCCCTCCCTCAAAGGGTAGCCGGCCGGAGCCCCACACCCCACCCAGTCCTCGGCGACATCACACAAAGCCGGCCAATCATCGGCCAGGGCTCCGCCCAGTAACCTTGGGCTGGGGGAGGGGCGGTGGGTGTAGCTCAGCTTCTCAGGTGAAATCCGTCCTGCCCGATCAGCTGCCTCCCGTCCCTCCTCTGATCCCTCATTGACCTGCCCCCAAATCTTTGCCCAGAATTCCTAGGGATGCGGCCCCCAGGCTCTTTCCCCTCGAAGAAGTCTTACTTTTCTCTAAGAGGTAACAGGCCGTGATATTAAAATAACTAACCAAGAACTGTTCCAGAATCCTAGAAGATTCTTCCAGCTGTGGTGTATGGTCTGATTCCTGACACCCTTTTTTGCTGGGACCTGGAACCCCATTACATCTCTGCTGACTCAATTCCCCAGTAGGTAATAACCCCGCACTTAGGGAGTAAGATGCCTTTTTGCTGGTCGCTGTACCTGCCACACTTTGCACACGTTCTAAGGGGGGTATCCCTCCCCGCCCGCCCCAATTTACAAATGAGGGCTCAGAGAGAAATTAACGCAGCTCAAGGTCACACAGCTAATTAGTAACAACCTCTTCTAGGAAGATCACCTTTCCTGGCTGTGGGCCTGAAGATTCAGTGCAGAAGGAGGGAGAACCAGCCCGCATGCAGCTGCCCACCTGTGCGTAATGTCACTCTGGGGGCTTCCAGGCTGGGAGACACCCTCTCAGGCCTCAGCTTGAAGTCTCTGAAAACCACAGACCCGGAATAGAATCTCCCCTCAGATGGCCACGGTCACCCATGTGACTAGTTAGTCCCTTTGGAAAAAGCCCCAGGGATATAAGCCTAGCTGCTCTTTTCTCCTTCAGGACCCCCTAACACCTTTCTGGAACCCTGAATAGGAGCCCCTGGGCAAGTGGGTCAGCCCAGGGAGGCCCAGAGAAGTAAGGACACCCAGCACCCCGTCTCGGGGTGTGCTGCTCCCAAGGTGGCCCAGATTTCACGGCCTCCCCTCCTCAGGCCAGCCCACAGTCGGCGTGCATGGCTTCATCTGGAGCTGGGCTGTCGTGGCCTCCGTCGTGTGTGTGTGTGTGTGTGTGTGTGTGTGTGTGTGTGGCAGGGGACACCGAGAGGAGCCCCAGGACCTCCTGTCTGCCTGGCACACCAGATCACTCAGCCATGCCATGACCTGCCAGGGATCACCTCGTCCCCATCAGTGACAGAGCCAGACCAAAGGGGAAATCAGCTACAACGGGAGGGATTCAGATAAGCTGGCAGAAGGAACTTCCCGCCTGCAAAGGCTGTGGAGCCCTGGGAAGGGGAGCCTGGAAGAATGTGCAACCTTCCTCCTCTGGAATCATGGTCACTGATACCACCCGAGCCTCATCTGATATGGACAGTGCCTAATATCTTTTGAGAACCTATGCGTGGAGCTCCTTTACATGCATGAACACATGTCATGTGTAAAGACCCCTCTTTACTGAGGCTCAGAAAGGAGAATCTGAACAAGCCTGAAGTCACACACTCCTAATGGTGGAGGTGAAATTCAAACCAAGCCTGACTGTGCCCAGTCTGGCCTCACCCTCTAAGCAGCCCTGGCGCGGAGAGAGGTGGGCTGGAGAAAGATGATCCTGCTGCCAGCTGCCAGCAGGGCTGAGAGCTGTCTGCTGGGGAAGCATTTTCCCATTCCGTAGTGAAGAAAGCCAAGGCCTGGGCAGGGGAGGCAGGGGGCCGAGGACGCAGAAGGCTGCTTCCCTGCGTGAGCATGGCGCCCACCTCCCTCCGCGGCAGAAAGAGGACACCCGCACCCACTTTACCAGGCGTCCTCTCCTCTCCCTCCTCCTCCCACCGTGGCAGCCTGCCAGCTCCAGGGAAGGTGGCTGGAAGCAAAATCCCTGCTCTCTCTGGGGAGTCTGCCTCCCAGACACCCGGGGGGCTTTAGCCGACTTAGCGCAGAGAAAGCGTCTTCCCGTGGGGACCAGTCCTCTCTGAAGCAGGGTGGCAGGTCCAGCCTGGGGTGCTGGTCCTTTCAGCTGCAGGGGTGCAGTGTGGGGAGCCCCGTGACAGCCAGAGGGCCCTGGTGTCCCCCCACCGGCCCTTCTCCTGGCCTCCCAGACCCTCCCCAGCCCAGCCTTCCTGAGGCTGCCGCAGGGAAAAGACTGGCTCTGAACCCCCAAACAAGAAGGCTTTGTACGGTGGGGTCAAAGGGCATGGGTTTGCAGGGCTCAGCCTGGTGAAAGGGGTCTGTCAGCCCCCTCTGCCTACTTCTGCCCTCACACATCTTCCCGGGAGCAGAGGGAGTGGTGCAGACACTCAGAGGGAACCTACAGGAAACCTGGGGTTCCGCACACCGACCCTACTCCCTCCTGAGGATGCCCTTAACCTCTCTCTCTCTCTCTCTGTTCATCCCAGGGTTCTGGCCACTGACTTCTGAGGAATGCCCAGACAGGCCGTCCAATGGGGGAGGGCGCGGGGAGTCTTATCCACACCCCCCCAGGGCATCGGGATCTCAGCTGGGCCCAGGCACCCCTAGAACGGCCGGCTGAAGCCGGCCCGGGGGAGGAAGCAGGCGGGCGGAGGGGCTGGGAGGGCAGGAGCTGGAGCGAGGAGGGGCCGAGGGCGGCCAGACCCGATCCGGAGCTTCACAGGCCCCTGCCTGCTGTTGGCCACGCGAGCCTGCAGGCCTGTGAGCCTATGAGCGGCAGCTCAGGGCCTGGCCAGAGGGCGTTCCCAGCTCAGGGAAGCCCGCTCAGCTGTGCTCCGGCATCCCGGGGCATCTGGCAGGGGTTTCCCATGACCTCCCAGGAGACGCGGCAGAGCCCAGAGCTGTGCCGGCATCTGCACCTGGGGGGGGGGACAGCTCAGTGGGGACTGGGCCCTGGGGACACTCCCCTGCTGAGGAATGCACAGCAACAGGCGCCTGGCCTGGGCCTCTCCCCACCCCGCTGGCCCTGGTCTCCAGCCGCCCTGCCAGGCTCTCCTCGGGGCACCTTAACTCCAGCCTCAGGAAGGACCAGTCCGACCTAGAGGAAGGACTGCTGGCCTCTGCCACCACTCTGATGGCGGGCTTCCACCGACGATGGCAGAGGGGTAGGGGCTCAGGCATCCGGGGGTCTGGGGATGGGGAACCGTGGCCCTCCATCCCTTCCGCCCACAGAGCAGCCGAGGGCAGAGTGGGAGTGCTCCAGAGGACAGGACGCTGCAGCCAACAGTGAGCTCCACCGCCCCATCCCCCTGGGACAGAGAATTAGCCCCCGGGGTCAAGGCCGAGCATCCCCGCCCCAGCAGGAAGCCCAGCAGCCTCTCAGGGCCCCGCCTCCTCCTAAGGAGCTGCTGGGCTAGAGGTTAAAGGAGAGAGACAGGAGCCCACGGACACTTGGGGTGGGGGTGGGTGTAGACTTGGCTGTCCTGGAACTTCCCTAGAGGGCGGCGAGGTGGCACTCAGGCAGGAAAACAAATTCCAGGGGCAGCTGCGTGAATCTCTGGAAAGGGGAGAAGGGCGGCTCCCACCCAGTGGTGGGGGGGAGGAACTCCCCCAAACTAGGAGCACGTGGGGACAGGCAGCCCACAAAGAAGGCCCAGCCGGCCTCACCCGCCACATCTGCGCAGCCCTGTGTGCCTCCCCGAGTACCTTCCCGCGTTCGTGGTCACGGCCATGACGTGCGGAAAGGGCTGGAGGAAACGGAGGCACGGAGGTGCCCAGAAAGAGCGAATCAGCAGCCGGATGACGAGGCCACGTGGAGCAGGGTGAGGAGCACGTGCTTGGAAGCAAGGGTGCCCCGGGTCCAAATCCAGACGTCTCCATTTACGGCTGTGAGCCTGTGCCCATCTCCACCATGCGCATGACATCCGCCACCTCGCGGGCTTCCGTGGGACAACGCAGGCGTGACACCTGGCGCTCAGTGAGCGTGCAGGAAATGACAGCGCCCAGCCCCGCCCTCCCTGCTCAGTCCTTCCATCACAGCGAGCTTCCTGCAATCAATCATCAATCAATCAATCCAAGGGCTGGAGGTGAATTCCTCTTTTTACCTAACAGTCACTGTGGCTTAACCCAGAGAGACACCGCTTAGATACGCTTTAAGGGCTTTTTTTTTTTTTTTTCCGGTACGCGGGCCTCTCACTGTTGTGGCCTCTCCCGTTGCGGAGCACAGGCTCCGGACGCGCAGGCTCAGCAGCCATGGCTCACGGGCCCAGCCGCTCCGCGGCATGTAGGATCTTCCCGGACTGGGGCACAAACCCCTGTCCCCGGCATCGGCAGGCGGACTCTCAACCACTGCGCCACCAGGGAAGCCCAAGGGCTTATTTTTAAAACATTTCATTCACACTTAGCTTCTCAAGAGTCACCCTTTAAGGACCGGCCACCTTCTACTGCATCCAAACCGCTCCTCTTCACAAATGGCCAAACCAGAACAAAGCGCTGATCCCATTCTACAGTGGGTAAAACTGAGGCCCAGAAGGAGAAACAGAAATGGGGCCCCATGACCCAGCCAGTAACCGACTTCGTGGGCCCCAGCCCTGCCCTCTGCCCGCAGAGCTGTAGGAATAAGGGTGCCAGGAACAAGTCACCTCTGCCACTTCCTCAGCCCCTGCCCCCACCCCCCTCTATGAGGTCTTCAAAGGCTGAGAGCCAATCAGGCAGGCTGGCTGGGGCGGGGTGGGGGGCACACTTCCGGGGCCTGCGGTTACTACACTGCACTTCCTGGTGATGACATAAGCCCTATTTCTGCAGCAGAAGCCCGCCACCAGGACTCTCAGGTCTCCACTGGCCACAGGAGGCCCTGCCTGGGCCTCAGTTTCCCAGATCTGTGAACTGGACAGGCGGCACTGGTTGGCCCTGACTGGCCTTGGACTCCGCCAGAGTGGGGGCAGGGGGCGGGGAAGGGGGGTTCTGAAGCACGGCATCCCCACCCTCACTCAGTTTTTTCTGTCTTCAGTGTCTTTGTCCCAAACCACTGATTCTCTTGATTCAAAATTTAGACGGACACTAAGACTTCAGAGGAGCCTGGATCCAGGGGAATAACTGCAGCTACAGAACCCGAGGGAGAGAGCAGGGGTGCCATCTGACTGTCCCTGGGCCCCTGGCTGGTGCGCTCCATGCCCTTTCCAGCCCCTGCCTGACCCTGCAGTGTCCAGGGATGGATGTGGAACCGGCAGAGCCCCCATCCCCACCCTAGCAGACTAAGGAAGGAAGCTTAAGGAAACCAGGCAAAGATAAGGGGGAAGGGGGTTAGGCCACCCTGAGGGCTCCCCGAGGGCTGGGGACTCAGAGCTGGGGGCTTGAAAGGGTCTTAAATAAATGCACCACGTGACTTGGCTTCCTTCCCCAATCTCAACTTTGCCAACTGGCATTTCTTAACAGCCACCCCTTCCCCTTCTCCCCCCACTAGTCAGGCCTATATTTCTGCAGCCTGGGGCAGGTCAGCTCTCCCCAGGGTCCCCCCCAAACCCCGGCCCCAGGTAGAAGCAGGCCCCTAGGCCAGCCTCGGAGCTGAGAGAGTCCTTATCATACGAGGGGATTTATGGATAAACGTATCACAGGGCAGGCTGGAGGGGCTGGCCTGGGAGTCTTGGTGCAGAGCTCAGGGGCAGATGGGCCAGACTCCAGGGTGGCCTGGGGTGGGGCTTTGGGGTCTGCTCACACGTATACCTTCTCCCCTTATCCCACAGCCCCAGGTCCTGAAAGTCGCCTCCTCTGGCTCTGCACCCCCTTGGCCTTCCCCGTGGCTCCGCAGACAAGCCAGCTTTGATCCTCATCTGGAGAGATTATAGGGCCAAGAGCCCTGGGCCTAGCACTTCTTACCTAGTCTAGCAGCTCCCGGACCTCCACCCTTACACATACACACAACACCCGCCCCCCACCCCGCCACTGCCCAGACCAAGTCTGTCTCTTTCCCGGCCTCCCTGTCTCAAGAGTTGGACCCAGGGCTTGCCATTAGTTATTCTCAGTTAGATATAAGAAAGGGTTTCCAAAAAGACAGCTCAGAGCGTGCTGGGCTAGGCTCTTGGCAATTCCAAATCCTTGGGTCTTCCCAGCAATGCTCTACGCTACTCCAACCCACCACCCAGTCCTTTAAGTGGGACAAGCGATTGCCGAGGGTGGGGATGGGGGGTTGAAGGGGACCCCAAAGCCCGGAGAATTCTCCCCTACAGCCCCCCAGTGGCACCATCTGCTCCCCGTCCCAGCCCCAGCCCAAGCCAGGTCCTGTCCTCAGCTTTGTGATTAGAAACTGGGCTCTGTCCAGGCATTGTCTGCCCTCCACGGCCAGCTGCGCACGGAGGTCTGGCGTGTGCCTGGCTGGGCGCTTGGGCTGGGGTGGGAGGGGAGGAGTGGGTGGGGCCTTCACCTTCCAGGAGGGCCTGCAAGCCTGGCTCTTCTGATGCTCAAATCTCCCCACCCCTCCAAACAGATCAGCAACAGAGGCAAGGAGTGGGGGCGTCCGGCTCCCCCCAAGGCAATCTCCATGGAAGCAGAGATGACGCCTGTCACTGGCAGAAGCCCGCGCAGTGGGCAGGCACAGTGCCCTCTGGGCGGGAAGGGTCCCGGGAACTTCTGGCGGTGGTGGGAAAGGAACACCAGCTCTTCCTCACTCTGCACAAGGTGCCAAGGCCATGGGCTTTCCCACGTCTTACGCTGCCCCAGTCTAGCCTGGGGGCCCTGCTGGGAGGGGGGGGGGCTTTGTTCGGCTCTCTCGGGTAAGATGGAGTCTAAAGGAAAGCCCCCTGGGAGGGGCACCCCCAGTGCCCTCCTTCCCAGGCCCGGTTCAGTTTCCTTTTATGATGCGCCCAGACTCTCCCACTCTGCTGCAGCTGTCTTATTTACATTTCCCACTCCCACACTCCCACCCACACCGTGCCCTCGCCCTCGCCCCCCCAGGGGATCCTGTCGCACAGTCAGCCGCGCAGCAGCCTGGCCCCACCCAGCCAGCCCACCGGGCACCTTTGGGGCTCCTCTTTGTCTCAGGCTGTCCGGAGCCAACAAGTCTGTGCCCAATGATGCTCTGAGTGCAGCGGGGGACGTGGGGGGAGGGCACCTCGGTCTCCCTCCCTCAACCCCAGAGCTGTGGTCAGCAGTCCCCGGACCCTCTCCGGGCTGCGGAGGGCTGGCCAGGTGGCTGGTGTGTGTGTGTGGGGGGGGTGATGGCACCTGCCCTGGGGTGTTTTCCATAGTCATCTCCGAGTGACTGCCCTGGAATCCTGGAATCTGGGTCATCTACAACCCAGGGAAACCAGAGACCTGCTCAGACCCACCCTAGACCCGGTCTCAGACTCCCACCCCCATCACACAGGGCTGAATGATGTCCTCCACCATCCCTTCATTGGTGATCAGTCCCAGACTGGCACTCTCCCACCATCAGACCCCCTCAAAGAGAAAAGCCCAAATCAAAAACGGAGGGGTGACATGGCGTGAAGTGTCCCAACCCAACACAAAGCCCCGCACCTCCAGGTGCCCTGGCCTCTGCCCACCTCACTTCTGCCTCTATGTCCCTTCAAGTCCCAGGTAAGTCCATGTGGCCCTGCCCCGCTCAGTTCTGTCTGAAGGCCTGAAGATGGGCATCAGCGTCACAGCATCCTGCCCTCTCAGAGGCAGAACCTCGGAGACACCCCATCCTCCCTTCCCAGCCCCAGCCCCTCTTGGGACAGGGCCGGCAGGGTTCTCTCCAAAGCGGCGGACTCCCCAAGGAGGGCCAAGGCCCCATCCCAGCCCTTCCATTCGTGCAGCACTCGATCTTTGTCTGCGGAACCGGCCCGGGGGCGACGTGCTGCCTCCCCAGCTGGACCATGAGCGCAGGACCAGCCGGCTAGGGTGGATGCAGGGAAATTTCCCCCCATCCACTGTGCCCGCATGAGACAGCAGCCCGTGGGGAGGCGAAGAGGAAACACACAGACGCTCCGGCCTGGGCCAGGGCTGGGTGTGAAATACCGGATTTCCTTGTTTATTCGATTTTCTGATCATTAAGGGCTCCCAAGAGGGGCCCGAAATTACCACCCAAACAAAGCCACCTCCAGCCGCCCGCGGGGCCGCCGATCCCTGCGGGGGCCGGGCCAGCACGCGGCGCCCTCCAGCCTGGTCAGCCCGACCTCCGCGGACGCCGACTGCGGGCCGAGCGGCTCCCCGGGACCCCCGGACCCCCGCCCCGCGCCCACGCGAGACAAAGCCGAGTCCTCCGCGCACGCGCCCCGCCGCCCGTCCTACCTGACGGCCACCTTGACGCAGCAGTCCCCCTGGCCCGCCATGGTGCTTCGGCACCGGGTCCCGAGTCGATCAGGGGCGGGGGCTTGGGGGCCAATACCCCGGGCGGCGACTGCGGCTGCGGCTGCGGCTGCTAGAGGCGAGGGCGCGGGCGCTGCGGACGGAGGCTGCGGCGGCTGGAGGTGACATGCTCGCGGGCGGCCGGCGGAGGGCTCACACGCGGCCGGCGGAGGACCCCCGGGGCCGGGCCCGCGCGCCCCCTCGAGCCATCGGGCGGCGGCGCGGAGCCAGCTGACAGCCCGGGCGCAACCCGCTCCCCACGACGCGGCTCCCGCGCGCGCACCTCCAGCCCCGCAGCGCCTCCCGCCGCCGCACGAACAAAGGGGGCGGGGGCCGGCCCGGCGGAGGCTCCGCCCCCGAACCAGTCCCGGCTCCTCCCCTAGCTCCGCCCCCAGGCTGATGCACCAATCGAAAGCCCGAGCCGGCAGCAGGGGCGGGGCGGAAGCCTTTAAAGGAACCCCTCGCCTCATGTCCACGCGTTTGCTGGGGGCCTGGCCGGGTGGTCTGGGGGGCGCGGAGGGACGCGGGCCGAGGAGCTGACCGCGCCGGAGCCTCGGACCCCGGAGCCGCAGACCCTCAGCCTCGGTGGGACCCCAGCCCATTAATGCGGAAGCCGGTACGCAGCGAGGGGAACTACCGAGGTTACACAGGAGTTAGTGGCTAAGCCAGGGTAAGAACCCGGGTCTCTGGGCCCAGCGCTTCTCTGCAAAGGGTCCCACAGCGCCTGGCGGTTTGTATTCTGAAAGCGCCCGGAAAGCCTCCCTTCTGCATTTATTCCAGTGAATTTGCCAGCCTTTATTGAGGGGGATTCTTGCTAGTGTCTAACTAAAATTCCCTCCACCTCCACCCTGCACCCTTCCCTACAACTTTAGGTGAACCCTAAAGTTC